TGGTGACTGATCAGTGGCAGGTGTATGTGTGTTTATAGTAATAATGCATTAATGAGGGTAGTTTATGCAGAGAGCAGATTTAACCATATCATGCACTGTCATCAATGGTGTCTTCATTGCCTCTCCTTGTGTCCAGTATGCCTGTTACGCCATTGGTAAGGACGTCCAGGCCATGAAGGCTGTGGTGGGAGAGGAGGCCCTCACCTCTGATGATCTGCTCTACCTCGAGTTCCTGCAGAAGTTTGAGAAGAACTTCATCGCTCAAGGTAAGAAGATGTAAAGTGTTGGTGGAGTGTGTCACTGCAACCACAGTTCATATAATATATTTCTTTCATCTGCCTCCTCACAAACGCAGCCATTACTTCTTGTTGTTATCAGCCGAATAATTGGTTGACAGAAAATGACTCGCCAACTAGTTTTATAACTGATTAATTATTTATGTCATTTATCATGCCACAACAAAAAAAAAATTGCATACAGATTGATTAATAATAAAAGTAATTGTTAGGTATTGTAATTGGATCCCTACATGCACCTGTATGTTTGCACACGTTTTGGACTTGCTTCCTGTTCTGTTGCAAATGCAGCAGAAATTAGATATGGTTTCTTCTTTTAGCTGAGGGGCACCTCACCACAGACGGTTTCTTCTTCTAGGTGAAATGAACATACAGTCGTACTTTCTCATTCCTCAGGAGATTAGTCATTACAGCAACACAGTGTGGGAAAAGAGAGAGAGAAATATTTTTAAACTTACAGCAACATCCAAACAACAGTTTCAGTACAACAACCTCCATTACAAGCAAATCTGCATCCAGAGCAGGGACAACCAAGCCCAAGGTCAGAGGTAAATTAAGAAATTAATATCACAAGATATATCACAAAACTTTTGTTTTGATCGGGTTTAATATATGACACTGCAACATTTTGAAACTTTTGCAGGGTTTTTACTAAAACAGTTAAAACTATGTCCAGCAGCTAAATACAGACGAGGTTGGAGTCACACCAACACCTCTGAACCTCACTGATGACAATGTTTTACCTCATTTGTTTCATCTCTTCACAAGCAGAAATGTGACAAGAACAGTTTGTGGTTTTGGGTGAGGATTATATGCTGGAACTATTTCTCGTTCAGAGCTGGGCCAGCTGTTTCCCTATTCTACCAGTCTGTAGACAAGGCTGCTTTATTTGTATAGTAGCACAGGCAGTTCACTGTGCTTTACATGAAGAAAAAGAAGCTATAGAGTGGAACATGAAACACAATTAAAAGCCAAATAAAGTCCAAACAGAATAACACAAGAGTAAAAAAAATCTGACACTGAAATGAATAAAATACAACTAGACCAGAGTAACAGTTAAAGTGCACCTAAGCCAGGCTAACTATATCCTGACTGCAGAGCCACACCTACAGACATGGAACTTATGTTTATTTTCTCATCTAAAAAAAGTGAATAAGTGTTTTCTAAAAGGTGGCAGTCGTTCTCTAAGACTGGTACATGTCTGGAAATCAATACAGCAGAAAAAACACTGAACTTAGAGAAAACACTTTTTTAACCAATCCTCTGCACAATGGAGGAAATATGAATTACAAGCCAAATTTAGAAAAAAGAATTTGGATTGGCTGATTCAGTCATGCAGTAAAGCATGCAGCAGTAAAGTACCAGTGTCAGTGAGCATCACTTTGATACTTCCACTAGGGGGTGCCTGAAGTGACTCAGATAAGGTGATTAAAACTAGTTTGTGCCTACTGTCTAATGTGCCCGTCATGTGTTTGGGAGCTTCCTGTTTCCTCATTAGGTCGTAGATGTGTAGATGCGTCATTACAAGCCCAGACTGGTAAAAGAAGAGAAACCTCAAACTACAGGCTTGATCAAGAATTGATGACATCATGTCACAAACAGTTGAGGAGCTATTATAGTCACAGTGAGAGAGACAGGAAAGTTGTGGAGAGAGAAAGTGGATGACACGCAGGAAAGGGCCACAGGCTGGACTCGATCCTGGGTCACTGCAGTAAGGACTTGTGGTCTACCAGGTGAGCCACCGCGGCGCTCCCGTGGTTTGGTCTGTATGCCTTGACGCTGGCGACAGCCAGAGCTGGAGGCATCATGTTTTCAGGTTGTTGTCCATCTCATCCTTGTGAACATGATATCTCAATAACGCCACGTGGGAAGTTTTTAAAATTAGGTACAGAAATTAGCTTGGACTCAAAAACACATTTTTGACCAAAACTCAAGAATTAATTCAGTAATTATTACATGACATAACACAAATGTCTAACAGGATTAAATGAAGAAGTGATGACATTTTTTATCCAAATGGTGAAAGGTCAACTTCACTGTGACATCACAATGTTCTGCAGAAACACTAATGATAAATGGACTTGCACTTATATAGTGCTTTTCTAGTCTTGCTGACCACTCAAAGCGCTTTACAATACTTCTCACATTCCCCCATTCACTCACACATTCATACATCACACTCATACACTGATGGAACAGCCAACAGGGCAAAGTGGGGTTCAGTATCTTGCCCAAGGACACTTCGACATGTTGCCTGGAGGAGCCGTGGATCGAACCACTGACCCTCTTATTAGTGGAGTCACAGCTGCCCCAGACCCCAACTTATGCTCATTATTCAATGCTGTAGCTCAGGAAGGATAGACTGTGACCACCAAACAACCACGAGGAGGTGACTCTAGTTGTCTTGACACTGACTCTCAGTCCAGTTCTAGACACATCTCAAAGATAATTGAAGCAAAGATGCACCTAACTACAATTTGTGACAATGTGTCACAGCAAAGGGTCTGAATTTTTGTTGTAAATGGTTTTGTGAGAGATTTCAGATTGATTCTCAGATAGTGTGCAGAGGGTAAGGTGGATCTGAAGAGTTTCTGAAGCTTCTGTATTGTCTTCAGGAGGTGGAGACCAAAACAGAGCTACAAGTAGAGTGACTGTTGAATTTATATTCATCAGATGGACACAAATATGACAACAACAAATAAAAAAAAAAACACGTTGTATTGACGTACAGTGGAGACTGTTTGTGAGACAGCCACAGTCGATGTTATGTTTGGATGTTAACCAGCAGCGTTGTGGCCTCTGTGTCTTCTCAGGCCCCTATGACAACAGGACGGTATATGAGACCCTGGACATCGGCTGGCAGCTGCTGAGAATCTTCCCCAAGGAGATGCTGAAGAGGATTCCTCAAAGCACGCTGGCCGAGTTTTACCCCAGGGAGTCTGCCGTCCGTCACTAAGGCACACCAAGGGATGTTCTTGTTCTAGCTCCACACACCATCCTACCCACCTTCCTCCTCCCCCTTTATTCCCTTCTTTCATCTCATTTTGCAGCCCTTCACTTCCTGGTGCTCAGAGCCTGATGGTGTTGAACCAGTACCCATCTCAAACTTCATCTTCTCTCTCTCCACTGGTCTTATTACCTCCACTTCTTCTCTTTCCTGTGAATCAACTCACCCCAACGCCATCCCCCACTTCTTCCCTTTCCTGAACGAGAACAGGGCAATAACCCCCCTCTATAGATGTACTGTAGTGTATCTGTGTCCAGAAGTTGTGTATGGGAAGTGTCTATGGATTTAATATCTACCCTTGATCAAAAAAACATGAACATATCCTTGAAATGATAGATCAGTCTCTATTTATTGGGATGTTACTGCTGAATATCCCCTTATTATTATTTTTTTTTTATTTTTTTTTTTTTACAATAAATGCTATGTAATATCCACCCCCACTGAAAAGGGAGGTTTCCATCAGAAGAAAGATGTTTCTATATGGATGTTGACAAAATAATAAATGCCCCAAAATCCTGTCAGTACATGACAGTGATTTTACAGTCTGGGATTTCTCTTACTTTGTCCACTTCCTGTTTATTGTTTCATAAAGAAAACTGCTGTATTTTGTGGCATCAGGTTTGCTGTTAATTAAATCAGATAGACTCTGGCCACAGGCAGCGTTCACATGTTTGTCTGTTGCCTCCAGTACTTTGACTCTTTCTTCCCTCTTGCTTCCTCTACCTTGCTCTTGAGAGAATACAGTGGATGTTAACATTATTTGTGTTAAGTTGAGTGATTTGTATTTAGTTGTTTGATTTGTATTATAAAAAAGAGGATACAAAAGTATGCTAAACATTCCCGTCTGTCTGCAGAAACTAATTCTTTGTTGTGCAACCATAATGGTTTTGTGAGTTTGTGTCCATGAATAAATTAAATTATGAGAAATTGCATGTTGTGGTTTTTCATACAGTTTCACCCTCCTCTGACCTGACACAGCTTTGTTTTAGCTTCATTTGCTAATAATGTCAATGTAGATCAACTAATGTGTTGGACTCTCTCTCCAGTGGGAATTAAGTGAAATTTCCCTGGAGGGAAAGTTGACCCTGGAAATAGTATGACAAAATAATCCTGACAATCAACGGCTACATCAGTCTTATAGATCAGGTGACCTCAGTATTACAACTGAGCAAACTTCATAAGATAAAATTAAACAAAATAAGATCTACCTTTATTGATCCCTGTAGAGGAAATAAAAATTTGAAACCGCAGCATAAGGGGAAATGTAATAAGAAAAAAATTTAAGAATTGAAACAGAATCTAAAATAAATGAGACAAAATGGTACTATATACAAAATAAAAATAAATAATGAAGTGGTTGTGCAGTTTAAGTGCATATGCTGATGAAGACCGTCAGATATGACTGAAAGAACTAGAATAGGCACAAGATAAACATTATTTTATGTCTTTTTCATTTTTTATATGTATTACAACAAAACAGCTGCAGTGACCACAGCACCACAGGCACCGCCTCCATTCCAATATTTCATTTATTACCAATTACTGTATGCTACATTAAAATCTTTAAAAAAAAAAACAGATTTTTATGAATCAAAATACCATCACTACAGCTGTAATATTCCTGACAGTCTTCTGACATTTTATTTGGACGGTTCTGTGTTGTAGTTTGCGGAGGGTCATTTCCTGTTGAACTTTAGTCTCAGAGTTTCTCGTCATGGCTGCCGAAGGTCTGGAAGAGATGAATGTCATTACATATCTGTCGGACCAAGGTGAGTGTTTTACGTCTAAAAATGAACGTGCTGCCGCTGGTTTTTGCTGTTTTACGTCATAAAGCTCCGATGTTACGTCCAATCCTGTCGACCTGAGGGAAACCCGCGCGACAGCTAACAATACAAATATTTAAAATACAATAAAACTTTATTTGATTATTGATCAGTTGTAAAGACTGATCAGTCTTCATGTCAGCAACAGATCACTGCTGCTCTGCTGGACGATACTGGGTCCATGTGTTAGACCAGCTTCCTGGTCCAGTGAGCAGAACTGACTGAGCAAAGGTCTATCACTCAGCAGAGTTCAGTCTTTCACAGGTGTTCAGGGGTGTTTGTTTTCATGTACAGTCCAGGTATAGCCCAAGTAGAACAGGTACAGTCCAGGGACAGTATAATCTGGGTAGGACAGGTACAATCCAGGTAGAACAGGTACAGTCCAGGCACAGAGGGAGGACTACACCTTACTTCGTACACCTAGAGCTGGGTGTAACTGCTCCTGGGCCCAGGAAATCTCCAGGGTTTATCTGATGAAGGATTACATGGCAACAACACGTGTGACGAGTGACTTAAATGAATGAATGAGTTTAATAAAATAAATAAAATGTCACATGGCAGTGGCAGGGTACAGCCTGTATAATGACACACTTCCAAAAGCTCCATGATATGAGATATCACTGTACGACTGAAGAGACTGACACTGAGTAGTTCCTCAGTTCTTCATGTCATGAATCCACCAGATATGTTGAAACATTCCTCTGAGGCTCTGCTCTATGTTGACATGATGCATCACATCATTTCTGCATCAGACCCGTGACCAGTAACACAGCTCAAGGCGTCACAGAAAGAACTGCTGGGTATTTCTTGGCCAACAAACACTGGACACAGCAGAGGCTCTCTCTTTGTGCTGGAGTTTGTCATTATTATAAAACACTTTTTTCAAATGTGGCATTGCCTCATAAGCTATAGGGGACAAACTTTTTACTGGCACTACCTGAAACAATTGTGAAATGTTTAGTCTACTTTTAATGAGCTCCAGTGTGCTGTACACAAACTCTCACACATTCAGTTTGTGCTGGTGGAGTCTTCCTGATTTAGTTGTTTTTGCTCATAATATGCACCTTGCTTAAATCAGTCAAATTCAGCAGATTAAATCTGTAACTGTGATCAAAAAGATTTGTTTCAGTTATATTTACTGTAATGTGGCTGCACAGGGGAGATCTTTTCATCTGTCTGAGGGTGTGCTCTCTAACAACAGTACTGTATGTGACAAAATGTCAGACTGTTCCTTTAGCTGGATTCAGAGCTGACCTCACTGAGAGAGAAGGACATCCTCAGTCAGTTTCTTGTTCTGTAAACCCCGAAAGTCACCATGAGCAAGTGACATGTAGTTACAGATTAACACAGGTTGTTCCATTGAGAAAAGCTATCAGCACACAGCAGCGTGTGTTTGTGTTCGAGGGTAAAAACATCTGTTTGATTTCTGAGACTTACAGATGTTGACCCCCAGTTTCTGGCTGTTAGCTGTAACACAGTTGGCAGTGAGCAGCCAGATTATCTGTTAATACTAATGTATAATAGAAGGCAGCTCTGCAGTTCCTCTTAGCACTGCAGTAACACCCAAGGCAAATATTTGGGCAGTCTGAGTATTACTGTACTGGAAACTCTGTGCCAGACACTGGACACAGGGAGTCACTGGATGAGATGTTATCACATGCTGGACAAGTTTTCACTTGTCAGCTTTTTTTAAACAGGAAGATGTGAGTGGTGTTGCTGTGATGTGATTTACTGATGGAGATGACTTACTGGTATCCTCTGCTCCCCACAGCCCTGCAGGAGTATGAGAGTCTGCAGAGGAGGCATGAGACCGCAGCCATGGAGGTAAGTGTCACTGTGGGTCAGGGCTGGTCTGGTTCCACATATGAAGGATGTTGTATGGTTAAGTTAATGTTGCAATAACAGTAACAGTAGTAGTGGTAGCTGTACTAACAGTAGCAGTTGTCATGATGATTAATTGTAATTAATGGTAACAACAGAGAAACAATGGCAGAGTCAATGTGTGTCAATGGAGAGAGATGACAGAGTGTGTGGGGACTGTCAAAAGCTGTGCTGATACACAAACAGGTGGTTTGAGAGAAATCTTTCTACAGAACAAAGGTGTTCTCTTCTTGTTCTCACACATAGATAAATGTATGTAAGATAAATGTGGAAATGAACTTTTTAAAAATGCATTTCAAGTCGTACACAGGATTCTAGATTTCTGGTTATTTGGTATAAATTAATATGGAAACCTCAGGGTCACGTGTGTTCCTCAGTGCTTTGTGTAATGTATTTTGGACACATTTCGTCAGATGAAATCAGCTGCTGTTCCAGGCAGATTAAAGCAACAGTGTCTCTGTGTGTCTCTGACATCAGTGCAGGAGGCTAGAGGAGGAGAGAGACCAGGCCATCAAGCAGCTCAGTGAGTTCCAGCAAGGTGAGTTCACCTCTCCGGATCCAGGAAGTGAGATTAAGAGTCAGATGTTTTCATTCTACAATCAAGCTTTAACTCATCAATGTATTGATAAATGTGTGTGTGAGTGAGTTTGTCCCAGTGGACAAAAGCAGCTCTGAAATCATTCTCTATAGATTTACACTGGAAACAGCTCATACTGATCACAGCTACAGAGATCATTCCTGTACAAATGCTGTTTGGATAATTAGCTTATAGTAACCAAGTGGTTAATTAGAACTTACAATGTTCATTTGGGTCTTTTCATATTTAACATGTGGGAAAATAATTTAAACTGTCTCCATCTCTAGTTTTACATTTTCAGACTTTAAACATGAGCTGATGAGCTGAATGAATGAACTGCTGAGCGTTCACTAAACTATTAAATGAATTTTAAAAGAAACAGAGCTAGCATATTAACAGAGTTCCAAGCATGCATTGCTCATGCATTGAGAGAACCCTCCAGGGACTCTATTTTGTGGTTTGAATATGTAAACCTGCTGTTTAACAATGTTAAATTGAGTTGTGGTTATTTGTTTTCATGATAATGAAAACAATACAAACCCTGATGAGCTCAGTCTGAGCCTGAACACAGCAGCAGCCTCACATCTCGTCCTCACTGACTCTGACTCTGGTAGAAAAAGGCTTCAGCAGCTGAATCTGTCACTGCTACATATCAGATGAGGAAGTTTAAACAAATGTGTGTAACAACTGTTCCTGTGACTGATCAGGTGACTCAACTTCATAGCTTCAGTTCAGTTAAATTAACTCAGTTAGTCAAAACTGATCAAATGACACTGAACTTACCTCAGTTCAGTTGGCAGCAGAGGAAACTTCTGTTTCTGAATTGAACCAAAATAGAATTACTCACAGTGAACATCAGATGTGTCTGTATGACAGGTGTGACATCTAAAGTGAAACCTGAAATGACAGAATGAATGTAGCTCATTTTACACAGAGCAGTGACCTTAGATTAATGTTCTTTTAAAATAAAACATAAAGACCACACACACACACACACACACACACACACACACATAAATTATTAATAGTATCATTTTCCATTCAATACGAGACCTAATACATTTTTTTATCTAAAAATAATTCTGATCAAATGAGACACACATGAACTTTAGTAAGTTCAGTGAGGGACTTTTGTAATATAATCACATTACAATATTTAATACATTCTGTGTTTTATCTTATCAACCTTTGATGTTAGTATATGTAATATTGCTAAGACATTTTGAAACATACAGTTAATTCTTAAGATGTATAAGATGCAACACATCTGCCTCCCATTACCTCCCAGATTTAATGTGTGACAACATAAACACTGGTGAGAGAACATGTGTCCTTTTGTGACGTATGTTGTTGTGAAAATGATCACAGCTGTAGAAACACATGAACCGGGACACAGATAATGACGCTGTCATTGCTGCAGCTTTCACCAGAAATCTGTTTCCCAACACCACAAATATGTTTCAAATGTTTTAGCCCACCATTCAATTTTCCAAACGACTTTCTTTACAGGTTGAATGCTTTGCTATGACCACTTTAGTTAAGACAGAATTTGAAATAGGGCAACACATGTCAAAAGATGGAGCAAATAGTTTGTCTTTGTGACGCTGACAGTTGTGTGGATTTTCATCTGAATAAATCTGGCCCGTACTTGTGTATTCAGTGATTCTCCAGCCAAAACACATATTGTGTTTGACTTCCGTGTTAATAGAGGCTGCCTCACTGTGCCAAGCAGCTGCATATTAGGACCTATTACGTGATTTCATAGCTCTTAGAAAATTGCTCCTATTCACAACGAAACGGTTGGGGATGGGGCGACAGGGTTGGTGGTGGTGGTGGTGGGGGGGTGGGGGGGCAGTAGGAGGACAGTAGAAAAAGCCCCCAACACACAATCATGCCTTTTCAATTGCCAATGGCAAGGTTGATGACAACATGACCATTGTGTTATAATGATAACACCACAAAGGCATCTGCCCCCCTCATCAAGGCTTCACAGCGGCTGCAGATACAATTTAATTCACTGCTCCGTTGGCGGCGCTGATACCATTATGCAGCACGTCGGCACAGGGGTAATCACTGTCTTTCCTGAGAGGAGGATGAAAAAAGACAGGCACAAAAAAGAGGGGAGAAAAAAATGGAGTGATGATGATGGGGAGGCCGAAACTTACAATTAAGACTGCCAATTCTGATGTGTCAGAGCCCCCCGTTGACTCGTGCTCATACACTTTCAACACTTCCACTGCTGTTTATTTACCATGGCTACCAGTAATTATAATTAACATGTCATTTAGTTCAAGGCGTCCTTTCGTAGGTTGTTGAGTGTGGCCATGGCATTATGGAGACAGGCAGAAAGGAACGGAGACAAGGCTGCGGATGAAAACTGGCAGCTAAGTGCTATTCAGTGACTGATGTGCAGGGCACCGGAGGAACGCCGTTATCGCCCAGCGCTGGCGTTCATCAACTTCTTAATTAGGTGTCACTGGGGGGAAGGAATTGCCCACAGCAATGGCACTAATGCTTAATATCTCCCTCGCTCAACCACAATGTTTAATTAGTTAAGTGGCAGGGCATTGTTTAAGGGCGTCCTCTTTGTATGGAGGTGTGATTGCAGCTTAAACAACATTACGATTTGTGATGTGGAATTTTACCAGATTTTTTCAACCCCCTCGGTTCAGTTAAAGCTGCACTAATCAATATTTTTCATATCTACAATGGATCAAATGAGTCCACGCAGAATTATTACCAGCTCTGCAGCTCTCCTCAGCTCGATGGAGCTTTTTAGCCTTTGTTAGTTTTGTGTTTTGATTTCCAACTTGTAAACTTCATTCTCATCAAGTTTCAGCAGCAGCAGCAGCAGCTGGTGGAGACCCATACAGAGCTACTGTACATTCATGCTTTTCATTCAAATGAATGCTAATTTTGTTGTGTTTCTGTAAATGGGCCCTGACAGTGGACACACACCCAATTCTGTTTATACCAGAATCTGCAGAGGTGGACATGTTCAATGTCCAAATCATAAATGCTGATGCAGCAGTTGATATATTTACAAATGTTTAAGGGGATAATAAAGATTTTCACTTTTATTATTTCGTTTAAGAAGCTGAAATTAGATTATTTAGAAAACAGCTGCTGTAAATAATGGATTCAGGTTGTTGGAGTTGAGGCCTGTTGTGTTATTTCCCAGACAGTAAAATTATTCTGGCCAAGACTTGAGCCACATATTTGTGTTTCTTCTGGCTCAATATATGCCCGGTTCCTCAGCCCAAGTCCGGCCCACATACAGCACAACTGTCAGATGTTACTTCCACATCTGGACCAATTCTGGTGCACACACAGAAAATCTGCCTGGATGTTAGCCAGTACTGGAGGATCACAGCCACAATCAGCTGGAGGTATATGGGCCGGACTCGGGCCAAGTAGCCAGCAGAGGACTATATCGCATCACATGGAGTTTTCTTAGTTGTCATGGAGGTGTAATTGAGCTGTTAAATGTTCTAATAGTCTGAGCACTTCTCTAACTCCACCTGCTAGTGAAGACTGACTGTGGGTCAAAAGCTCTATAATAAATAAGTAAGTGGATCTTAAGTTGAGATATATGAGATGTCATGTTTTCCGCTCGTTCCTCAAAATCAAATAATGCAGCTTTATTAAAGAGGAACTAGGACGTTCAACCTGTGAAGACTCCAGATGAGGCTAGAATGAACCTTCATCCTGCTGTGTTTGTATACTGAACACAGACTATATATGTTAAATACTTTAATCTACAGTTGTAGATATAAATTCAATTTGATTTAACAGCCTTCAGTGTTTATCAATAAAAAACTCACCATTGTTCTCATCATATATTTTTCCAGTGCAGCCCTGTTGTTGTACATGCTGCAGTAGCTCAGCAGAGAAATCAGCCTTTAAGGCAAATGTTTCCCTTCACCCTGGGTTAAGTGCAGCATCACAAGTATTATTGTGAACAAAAAGCCCACATACACCCTAAACTATTATTCATAGTCTTATGCTCCAAAGTTGTTTCCTGCATGTATTCAGTCTATAGTCAATACGTGTTGGCCTTGGCTGATGAAAATAAAGGGAGGGAAAATTGTGTGAATAAAAGATAAATTGATAACATTATTTAGTTCACTTCCTCTTGAATTCATATCATAATGATGCACAGAGGTCACTCACCAATGAGGCTCCACAGATGGCAGACACAATAGCAAACAGAAATATTCTTCAGTGTCAAGTGTTATAGCACTCTTATCTCAATTAACCGCACAATGAAATGAGAAGTCACAGGTATGTAACCACTCATTTAGAACATCCTAATCATGGTATTTGTTTCCTCAATGGCATTTTGATCAGGTTCAATAGCCATGAGTTGACTTTTTAAGTTTGTATTGACACGAATGCTGTCATTCAGTTGAATTTCATCTGCTGGTTTTCATATTTCATTAACATCGTCTCATCAACAAAAGGCCGCCAACTGCATGACGTGTCTCTGTATATGTCTGTATCAGTGGCCCTGGATTTATTCCTGTCTGAATCTGTTGCTTTACCAGTTGGTTGATGGTGTTCTCATTGGCCGAATGTGGCAGTGACATAACGGGTCACAACATTATAACATTATATTTCCTATTACAAAAAAAATCATAGCATATACAGTAAATGTAATTTCTAGGAAACAATGACTGTATACAGCCTGTACTGTAGACAGTGTGTATGTAAAGGTGCTAACAGTGTTGTACCAGTCAGTGTATTCTGTGACATTTCATGCTGTGCTCTGATTGGCTTGTGTGAAGACGTAGTTAGTAGCAGATGTAAGGACTGCACAATTAATTGAAATATTATCAAAATATCAATATGGCCCAGTGCAATATCCAAATCAAAGGAGCTGCAGTTTTTTGATGAAGGTAAAATGTGTCACATTGTTGTGCATTGTCAGCACCACGAGTGCTGCGGTGCTACAGAGACGCCCTGGCCAACAAATCATATTGTCCAGATGTAAAGGAACATGTTTGTTTGGTACAAGACCAACAAAAATCATATCATCATTTTTACATTTTTTTCTAACTGAAATAGCATGCAGACGTCATTGTGAGAATTTGCTCAGAATTTTGACGAATGTTGACTATCATGTGGAACAAAATGACACCATGTACAGGGGAGTTAAGTAATAAAATAAAGTCTGTATGGTTTCTAATGTTCTCTGTCTCTTGTTTCCCAGTATCTCAGATGGTCATTGAAGAGGTCAGTGCCATTCAGGAAAACCTGGAGATTGAGAGGACGTGCAGAGAAAGTGCTGAAGCCCTGGCCTCCAAGGTGCAGTTCATCTTTAGACAAACATGGTCTTCTGGTTCTGTTCAAATGAACTAACAGTGTAACAGTCCAATAACACATGCTCACAATCAAGAAAATAGTATCATTACATTAAAGCAAGGTGAGAATAATGTAATCAGAATTGCAGGATCTGTTGATTTAGACCAAGTTTGGTTAAATAAATACTACAGCATCAAATCAGCCATTTAAGATGAGTCTGTGGTCAGTGTATGCCAGAAACCATCACTTTGACACATTCAATTTGGATGTTGCAATCAAAAGCACTCTGTGGTCCTCTGGCTCTGCCGTCGTCCCCGTATCTTAGACTCTCAAATTGCATTGGATTCTTTCGACTCACTTTTTTGGGGTCCTTGCTAAAATGTGAGTTGTGATTGAGAGTGGGGGAGCTTGGCACATAGTGATTTCACAGCCCACTGGTGTTGAGCTTATCACTGTAATCATTTCTCATTCAATTTCTGGACAAAAGCCCTCATGGTCCATGTGGCTGTACCAGATTTTGGGCAGTGGGAGGCTGAGGGAGAATTATAGTGAAGGTTGACTTTTAAGCTTTTTTTCTTATGTTCCCTCAGCACTCCTCTTTCCTCAGGCTTGTTTTTCCACCCCATCTTATGGGAGTGACAAGTAAGATTTGTACTGGCCCAAGTACCATAAGGTACCATAAGGTATCTGGGTAGTTTGACTCAGTTGTTGATAAATCCTCACCAGCTGCTGAGAATTTATTCTTTTACAAAACCTGACCTTAGACACTCATCTGCTCATCTATTGACACACCGCTCAGTGTTGCCATTCACGTTACATTTTGTGAAGGTTAAAAAGCTTAACCTTTAAATTAACACATGACAAATGACAGTACAACTGTTTTAATCCAGTATTCAGCATGAAGATATATTACATTTATTCTAAATGTTTATTCTAAATGTGATCTACGCTGAACAAATACATTACTCCCATTCAGAGGTAACAACAACGTATGATGACAATGATGGGCTCCAGTGCAAGATTCTTTTTTATTGATCATTAGACACAAACACACACATATGCACACACACACACACACACACACAGAGAGAGAGGTGAAGAGACGGGGTGGGGGATGAGATGCACGTACATACACTTGTTTGATCATTACTACTGTGTAAATGTACTGAATGTGTGATAAGTACAACTCAGTCACACATGTGCGTGTGTATGTGACTCCTAATACTCAGACTTCAAAGTACGTCCAGTAATGTGCTTGTTTTTTTGCAGTCTGGCAACATTATGGAAATGAGTCCTATAGAAATATTTCTGTTAAAGAGGTCAGATCCTTTTTGCTTAACCAGAAATGAAAAGCCACCAGATTCCATTGACAAAAACATTCATTTTACTTCACAGAACAAAGGATTTGCTGGTTTACCATGGCATCAGTCTTGTGGTGTTATTGTTATTGTGTGGTGTTTTTACTCAAGTTCAGGGTCTGAATACTTTTGCCACCACTTAAGGTCATACAATAGAACAAACTAACTAACCGATCGAGGCAGCGGCGGACCAGCAACTAGCATGTTCTGCAAGATTAAATTATTGTTTTGTCAATTTAGTCTGGTGCTTTTTTTTAAAACGGAGCGACCAGTTACCATGGCTCATGTGTGTAGAGGCTTGTGTTGTGTTCAGGCGACACAGTGAACGACGGAGCACTGAGCACATTCAGATGCTGCAGAGATTTAATGAAATGAAGAAGAAACTGTTCATACAGTATAATATTTCCTGCTATAACCACATGAAACTTTATTTATGAATGATCTGTATGTGTATGAAAAAGTAAATATTTATCAGCTGATGACACAGAATTAAAGATGAAGAACTGTCATCGCCTTTAATGGAAGGAGAGATTATTTCTTTTCATGCTGAGCCGGTGCAATAACTGGCTTCAGTTCAGAGAAGATGTAGTGTAAGAGGCTGAAGAGGCAGCAGGAAACCAACTGTCTCCTGCTCTGACAACAGGAATTCATCTGTTTGTTCTGAAGAAAACACTGAGTAAAAACTGCCTCATGTCAGTGACGACTCTCCATCAGGCTTTATTTGACGTCTTTGGTCTCTTGACCATAACCAGCCACTTATAGAGGGCGGAGCAGACAGAGTAACAATCCTTGATCAGCCATATCTGAGAACATATACCATCAGAATACAGTAAGGTTGGAGGATATCACCGGTTTGAACAGTGCTGACCTTTCAGTAGGATTTCAGCAGTTTCTACAGTCTGAAGGTGTAACATCAGTTTATTACTGATTTACATTTAAATCAAAACAAGATTACATGAGGAGTCGTTCTTCAAACTCAAGAATTAATTTCTTTTTACCCAATGATGGTAATTTCATCTACCAAATAATCCTAGTCCGAAAGAGGCTAAAGTTCACAACAATTCCTTAAGTCCTCAATATTTTGAATTAAGAAGCAGCCAGAGGGTGTTAGCAATTTACACCCAGTTAAATCAGAATGTGCTTTTGATGCTTCATGGTTTTGTGTTGACGAGTGATCAAAGGTAAGATGAAGGCTGTGACCTCTACAGAGTGCCGGCCCGGTGCTATGTCAGCCCTAATTTATCTGAGTATATAATTTGATACGTACATTTCTCGCCAATTGTAGATTATTATCAAAATAATGTGATTCCATGTTATGTATTGTTGATTGCATTTCAGAAAAAAAGATGCAGCCTGAAGGGCATCATCAAAAGATGGAATTGCTGCAATCCGCTCCCAGCAGGATGCCATTAATAAATGTTTCTTTTATGGCTCGCCTTTTCTATTCCCCCTCTTTTTTTCTCCTCTGCAGGCACTTTTCTTCCTTCAGATGACACCGAGAAAGAGGCATAATTGGCATCTATCTCCTTCCCATAGGCTTCATTCATGTTTTGCCTGGTGATGGTCTCCTTAATTGATACATATGGCTGTCCTGATGATTGAACTTTTAGAAATGGAATGGCCATTGTGGCAGTTCAGTATGTATGCTTCAAGTCAACTGATCAATTTGCAAAGAATTTCAAGGAAAAAGGCGGCAGAGGAAGAATACGTGTTAGAAGTTATAATCACACAGAAAAACAGGATGCACAGAAATGCAAGATGCAAATACATGTCACGTCAAAAAAACTGTGATTACGTCTAAAAGGAGAGATATTCACTGCCTTTTCCTGCTTCCTTCATCTGCTTGTGCTCCTCTAATGATGTCTGTTTTTTCACACCTTATCATTGCGTTTGCATGCGTCCTGCCATTATTACTGATTGCAGGGCCAAAGAAAAGAGGAAATCAGAGCAACATCTCATCTGCCCTGTCTGTCTCTGCGCTGCCTCATTTGTCTACCTGTTTTCCTCCAGCTTACTACAAAGCACACGCTCGTCAGTCTATGCAGATTTGAGAAGTGAAGGCAGGGGAAATGCAGCTTCTCTGGGTTTTTGTTGGATTCATGTTATCTTTTAAGGAATATGTGCTGAACATGCCATAAGTTGTTTCTGTGGCTGCACCGTGTAATCTCTCTATTTACAGCAAACTCAAGTGTTATTGTCGTGGCTGTGTTGTCGGATGACTGTAGCTACTATTGAGCAAATCATCTGTGAAATTATTCAAATCATTCAAAGAAAACAAAGTTTTGTGTCACTGCTGGTTTGTATTATGTCTTTACACAGAAGTAAGTTGTTGTTATTACAAAACCTTTCACTGATTAACTGTGTAAATTAGTCCAACCTTCATTTTTATTCCTCCGTGTCGGCAACAGTCAGAGCCATATTGTTTTCAGGTTGTCCGTCCGTCTGTCCCTCCATCTGTCCCTCCGTCTGTCCCTCCGTCTGTCCCTCCGTCTGTCCCTCTGTCTGTCCCTCTGTCTGTCCCTCCGTGTGTCCGTCCGTGTGTCCGTCCGTGTGTCCGTCCATCCATCCATTCGTCTGTCAGTTCATCCGAATCTCATGGACACAATATCTCAGTGACACTTTGGTAGAACTTCTTCACATTTGCTACAAACATTCATTAGGACTCAAGGATGAACTGATTAGATTTTGGTGGCTAAAGGTCAAAGGTCAAGGTCACTGTGACCTAACAAAACATGATTTGTGCCTTGTAAATGCAATATCTTGAGAACTCCTCAAAGGAATCCCTTCAAATTTGGCACAAACATTCACTTGGCCTTAAGAACAAACTGATTAGATTATGGTGGTTAAAGGTCAATTTGAGTGTGACCTCACAAAACACTTTTTAGGCATAATTAAAGACTTAATTATGACACAATTCACACAAATGGTTAATATCTTATATGACTCTGGATAAACAGGGATGTAACCTGAAACTAGTCTGAGTGGAGGAAGCAGACAACCACGAGGTGGTGATTCTAGTTTCATATTGCTTCCATGTAATTTTAAGATTCAATAGAAAATACAGTGAATTAAACATTATATTTGATATATATAGTAAATACTGTTCAGTCGCTCTGCACTTCCTCTGTCCTCAGCAACACAGCCACCAAGTCTGAAGTAGATCAGATGAGAAAATGGAAGGACAGACAGAGATTTCTGGATCTATTTGTCGATTTTAAACAGTGAATGTGATTTCTGTACTCTCTGTGTTGAGCTCACCTCAGGTTCTGGAGACCAGAGGAATCAGCTACGGTAGAACCAAACCCAACACAAATCCAGGATCTGATCCAGCAGCTGAATTAGACTTCATGTTGTGCCTGCAACGTCTGAGCAGGGGACAACACAACACAATCCTGTGTACCTGCATGTGTTAGAAAGTAATGAGTTACAATACTCGTAATTGTAAGCTCAGAACGCCTGCTGATTGTGGCCATAGTGGTTGTGGTATAGACATGAGTTCAGCACGTTTGGAGCGTTTAATAAAAGGATTTAGACAGAATTCAAAGTGAAAGTGTCTCATTCAGCTTCTGAACAAACCACAGGATGTAACATACTGTGAGACTGCTGTGTGTACTGTATGGCACAAAAAATCTTTATTTTATTTCACAGGTGATGTGATTAACACATGAAAGTTGTTAAATATTAAATAGTCTTTCCTTTGTGATATCCTGGACTATATTCTGCAGTGACACTTTATCTTCCTCTGCGTCTCCTCTGCAGCTTAACTGTCAGAACCGCTCTCTGAAGAGGAAGAGCATGATGCTGCTGTCCCACCTCAGCCCAGACACCATCACAGACATCAATCTTGACGATGAAGAGGAGGAGGATGGTGAGGATCTGGATGCAACCAGCAAGGTCTGTCTCTCCCCGCAGTGCCAGACCACCATCTCAGGTACCAGATAAGTCTCCAACTGCTCCAGTTGTAACGTGTGTCACATATTTACCAGGAAGTCACCACACACTGTGTTGTGTTCACACTTCTCCTGTGTTCTGCTAACGACCTTAATGATGAAGGTTTGTAGTACAGTTCACACCTTTTATCACAACCTTTTACCTGTTGCCACACCAACAACATGTTACCATGCACAGACTTTACATGTCAAAATGAATTTCCTGGTCATAAGGAGAGACAGCCAGCCAATGAGAACAGTTGTATGAATCTATGTTTCCTGCTTCATTGTCTGGGATGAATTAAGTTGCTGAGTTCAATCAGATTTATCTTGGAAACTTTAGATTTAGAACAGAAACCCTGGACTACAACATGGCTGCATAGAGACAGACTATGGTGTCCAGGTCCAGGACAGTATTTGTGTGACAGCATTGTTAAGATTAAGCTGCAGTGGTCCACAAGGGCAAACACATCGCCAAGGCCCAAAACACTTCCATTAGGAGAAACAAGCTGCAAATTCAGAAACAATGCAGATTCAAAAACACATAGAAAAATACAAAACAAATACAAGAATGGAAACGTGCTGCAAATGAAAAAACAGGCTGCAGGAAGACAAAACAAAAACATGAATAGCAAACACGCTGTAAATACAGAAACAATGCAACAACACAAACGCATGAACTTCCAAAACAACGGAAATGCTCCTGGCCTCTAGTGGGAGCTATAAGTGGAACATATAAGTTAATGCTAACACTTGCTACGTTACCTTTTGCTCTTTTATATTTAGTTTTATTGCAAAAACTACAGCTGAATGTAAAAAAGAACACAAACCTTTTTATGTTGCCTCTTCATTCTTTCCTTATACTTCTTTTCTCAAAGCACAAGCTAATGCTCAAGGTGTTCCACTTAGAGCTCCCCCTAGAGGCCTGGAGCTCTTCTTCTGTTCCTAGTGGATATGCAATGTTTTTTCTGTTGGTGTGTTTTTGTTGATGAATTGTTTCTGTATTTGCAGCGTGTTTGTTGTTCATGTAGTTGTTTGTATTTTCGTTTATGTTTTTGGATCTGCATCGTTTCTCAATTTGAAGCTCATTTCTCATAATGGAAGTGTTTTGGGCCTTGGCGGCGTGTTTGCCTTCGTCGGCCACTGTATTAGGAAACTAAAATCCTTTTTGACAGTTAGGGAAGGATCATTATGATTTCATAACAGCAAACATTCATCACAGTTCTGTGATGAATGTGGGGTGTTTAGGGTAACTTACAAGCCCCGAGCTTTCAACCGTCCGCATTTTCTCTATCACTGCAGCCACATTTGATACAGTGTGTATATAACATATATATGCTAAATGTACCAAAGTACAAATAGATATGCACAACATGGTGACCCAAAATAATGTAAGTACTCCTGTGTAAACTGTGAAGCTGTGTGTTTCATGTGCATGAATGAGTGAGTGGTAACTACAGATGTTGAGTGAGTCTTAAACTGTCTAAAATACCAGTGAACTACTTTTGCAGCTGTCTGTGGGAGATGTCACAGTCAGGTCCTTTAGTAATTATACCATAGGTGATAATGGATTCATTCTGATGCAGAAAATGGTAGAAGTTAACCTTCTCCAAGACTGCAGCTAGTGAAAGCACTTCCTGTCACAAACACACAGGATACTTTCACTCCACATTATTTTACTATTTTATTATAAACAGGTTTAAACTAGATGTGATCAAAGAACATGAGTGGTAGATTCTGAGCTAAGCACATCTCAGCTGAGCCTGAAGAAGGTCCTGCACTGTCATCTTTTCATCTGTTCACACACTTTTTAGCATTTTCTTTTCATTTGAGAATTTTATTCAACAGAATACTTGTCCTATTTAACAAAGGGCATCCCATCCCCTGCTCAAAACAATTTGAGGTGTCACTGACCCTTTCTGCTTAAGTACACTCCTAAATGTCTCAGCCTGGTCCTGCTGTGAGCTGCTTCTCCAAGGCTCAGAAATTCCTGAATTTTATGCGCCTAATGCCAGTCATCTGTTTCATGCAGATGACTGGCATTACCACGCAGGTACATGTATAGAAATACAAACCAGTTTTTTTATTCCACAGTATATTCATACACAGTACATGTAGTTTTGCAAACACATCACAAAGAAATAAATTACTGGCTAATGCAGCACATTCCTCTGGGTTATCAGCTTTTCACTGCTGCTCTGGTGGAAACATGTTTATATACAGCTGCAAACGGCAACTCCACATCACGTTAATACTCCACGTTAATAATAATAATAATAATAATAATAATAATGATAATAATAATAATAGCAATAATAATAGGTTCCTTCCACCTTTGGGGCTCTAATAAATGGAGCAGTTCCAGTTGGGTCCTCACACCGTTCTATGCTCAGGCCCTAGTTAAAGCAGCATTGAACAGGCCCTCGCACTTTGAAGATGTGGGGGAGTTGATGCACATCGTGTGACATGACCATGGCCATTTGCACGACTGCTGGACACAGAACCAATGAGTTAAACATCACTTACGTGGATCAACTTTGTGCCACCTAGATGCCAATATTCACCAGATGTTGTGCAGAACCTCAGTGTGACACAGCAAGTTTCATATTAATCATACAGACTTATGTAAAGATAAAACATCACTTCCTTTGTATGAGTAGAATATAAAGCTATTCCTTTATAACCTTTACATTTTTTTGCAGTAACAAAACCACCATGAGAAACCATGAGAGCACATAGATGATATTTGCAAAGTTTCATGCAGATTGCAGGTAGAGCCTAACAGAAGTGGAAAAATAATTTTAGCATATTTCATGATATTGCAACAAAAGCGCCTCCTAATGGCCAGTTGGTGTCACGTTTTGTACAGAGCATTGTTTGGACATGAGAAACTATTGAACCAAGTAGTAATAGGAGTGATTGTTTTGACCGCAACCTATAAGTAGTTGTTCATTATAATGTATTTTGTGCTTATCAAAATGTTTTAATAACTTTTGATCAGAAGAGTTTAGATCACACTCAGTTCAAAAAAGCAAGTTTCACATATTTTAGCAATTTTGCAAAAACAAATGATTGAAAGAAATGGGCGTGGCCTATATCACAAGATTCAGTTAATTTTAGGTCACGCATGCATGTAAAGTTTTTGAATGTTCAATGTATAATGTCGGAATTACTGGCAAAGATGCCTTTACCGTGTTTATAACATCTATCCCTGACTGAGATATCAAATAAAAAAACTCACTAGTTCGAACATTGGTGCAAAGTTCCATGAGCTTTTGTGCTTCCTAAAGACAAAAAATGTGTTCATGAAATGAAAAATGACATGTTCTGACATGATGCTTGAAAACACATGAAAATCAGTACACATAAGACCCTCAATAATGCATTTTTCCAGCAGAACAATAATAAAAATAATTTCTTCAAAAACAACACCTTCAGTCTGCACGCACTGTCACGTGTAATAATGCTTCTGTTTCACCTTAAAACACTTAAAAGTCAAACTGTTGGTTATTACACATCATTCTACTGGTTTCAGGAGGATCATCAAATATTTGGTGACTTTGAATCCAACACGGAGCAAAAAAGGTTTGGTCACAATAGCTTCAGCCAATGTAGATTTTTGATGTTTATGTAAAATAGATCTTAATGACACAGGTTTAAAAATTCATTGATTTTTTTTTTGTCAGCGTTGTCTGTAGATGAAAACATGAAGTTAGAGATTAAAATGAGGAAATCATTTTGACCCTGTGCTAAGCCATTTTCAAAATGATTGTGAAAATGGAAACCTGATTATTACAGCGCCACCTTGAGGACAGTTAATGTTAAGGACAGTGCCTGAGTAGAGGGTAGACTTTGAAACCCACCTGCTGATTTTGGTGAGTTTTGTTCTTGTGGTTTTTGCTGCACAAACACTTTTAGTAGAGAAATATAATGAGAAGATGAAAGAATAATAATGACAACCCTCATAATAATAATAATAACAATAATAATACAGCACAGTACAGCAGCTCACATGGTAAATTTACTATGTCTATGATTTCATGAGTAAAACAACATGTTGTAGTCAGCACTATGTTGTTCCCAGTTTCTCCTTTTAACAGAAATAATGTTTTCATACTTGTGTATGAAGTTTGGTGGATCATGTCAGGTGAGAGTGATGTCATCCAGCTTGATGTGGCAAAATGGAGTAGACACCTGAACATGAAGTCTTCTACCTGAGCAGCCTCTGACTTCTGTTGTCCTTCATGCTTAGATCTGCTTCATATTCTCAGTGCCAGTGTCCTGTGGTGAGGTGTGTAAGAGCACTGTGCAACACTGCTTTGAGTTGATTGTCTGTGTTTCAGAGCTGCAGAATCAGCTGGAGTCATCCCTGGAGGAGAAAACTCGAGCAGTGACTAATCTCGAGTCAGTGAGAGACCAACTGAGGGAAACTAGGGAGGAAGTAAGTTTAAACACCGTTCTGTTGGTTTTCATTGTTGCTAACACTCCATGTACATTTCATGTACTCCATATAAAACACGTGTGCTCATAATAAATCTGTGTCAACAGCAAGGTGACCACATTCTTAAAAATGTGTTTCTAAGAGAAGAAGAACCAGATGAAATCTGTTCAGACCTGACATGAGTTACTTCACATGAAAGGGTGCAGGTGTTTTAGAGCCTTAAGACTGGCTGTGTGTGATCCATCACAGTGAGCATCATAGCTACATTTGTCTTTGACTGATAGATAGATAGATAGATAGATAGATAGATAGATAGATAGATATAGATAGATAGATAATAATTCAAAAAATAAAATAAAAACAGTTAATAACAAATAAACAATAATAATTAGGTTAGTCCACTTCCTTTGGCTGAGTTAATTAATAATTTAATTACAAAGTAAAAGTAAAACCAAAATTAAAGTCTGCCTGGATGTGTGGAGAAGCACATTTCAGGTTTTGAAGGTGTTTTGTGGAGTTTTAGTAGCACTCATGCACGAGCACGAGGTTGCTCATGCACACATTTGTGCACATGGGTAATGTGGTTCAGAGTCCGACCCAGTCTGATCAGCAGTAGTGGGAACCGGCCAAGGAGTAACACTAATGTAAACATAACTTTGGTTCCCTTACAAGAAAACTTCAGAGGGACTTTTTAGTTTTCTCAGGAATCTGATGAGAAAAGTCTTTAGTCTGTGATCAGTTACAGTTTGAGTGTCACCTCAACAGTGACTGTGACCACTGACTGTGTCTCTACTCTGTGCCTCCTCACATCTGCAGCTGCTGAAGGAGAAACATGATAACACTGTGTTAATAGCTGAGACGGTGTGGCAGAAGAAGCTTCTGGGGAAATATAACAGAGGTTAGTGGGGGGGGGTGGGGGGCCTTCATCAGAGACGACTCATTTTGAGCATGGTCTTATTTCCCTACAGTAAACACACCAGAGTATCACAATGAGTTGATTACTGATATAGTTACACCACATGTTGCGTCTCACCAGTACCATCTTTGTCCAGTGTCTCAGTTTGCTGTGGAGGAGTACAAGGCCCTACAGGACACACTGGACCTGGAGAAACATCTGAGGACTGAGGCCGAGACCTTTGGCAGAGAGGTGAGTTTTTACACCAGCCTCTGTGTTCCTCACTTCTTCTCTGTGTGACGACCTTCTCTCTGCTGCGTCCTGACTCTCCTTCTCCTCAGATGGTGGTTGAGCAGAAGAAGCTGAAGAGACAGAGTCAGATCCTGATGCAAAGCTCCTCGCCCAGTCAGGCTCTACTGGACGCCCTGAGCCAGGTCACCAGACTGACCCAGGATCTGGAGACGCAGAGGCTGGAGCACCAGAACCAGGTGTCATTACATAACTCAGTCACAAACTAGACTGATGTAGAAATATAACATCATCCACAAAGGGGTGTGTGGATGTGTGGAAGTTCAGCCTCACTGTCAGATCCACATTCGTCTCCTCATAAAGAACCAACCACCTTCCTCCCCTTCTTCTTCTTCTTCTTCCTCCTCCTGTTTTTCTTTATCCTCTTCTTCTTCCTCCTCCTCCTTTTCTTCCTCCTCCTCCTCCTCTTCTTCTTCTTCTTTCTCCTACTCTTCTTCTTTCCCCTCCTGCTCTTCTTCTTCCTCCTACTCTTCTTCATGCTCCTCCTTTTCTTGCTGCTCCTCTACTCCTTCCTCCTCCTCTTCTTCTTCTTGCTCCTCCTCTTCTTCTTGCTGCTCCTCTCTTAGTTTTTTTTTTTTTGTTTGTTTGTTTTAATTTGTAGCCAGGAATATGTTGTTGTTGTTGTTTTCCCTTTTGATTGTGGGGTTTTAACTGTTCACTGGTAAGTTATTAGAAGTTTTGAAATGGACCATTTAAGTTTTTTGGCATAATGTGTCCTAAATAAAGCTGTGTAAAAGTCAAAAGTCTTCTTGCTCCTCCTCTTTTTCTTCATCCTCCTCTTCTTATTCCTCCTCCTCTTTTTCTTCCTCCTCCTCCTCCTCTTCTTCATCTTCTTCCTCCTCCTCTTCTTCTTCTTCCTCCTCCTCATCTTCTCTTGAGGCTAACTCTTCATTTCAATGGTTTCAGTCAGTGGACAGCTGCTGAGCAGAAATGTCAAAGCTCAAACTAACAGTGTTTCACTAACAGTGAGGACTTGGTCAGACTGATGAGTTATCATAAGAACTGATGTCTGCCACACGAAGAAGCCATAGCAGCTCAGCTCTGCTACACATCTGTACTGTGTTAAGATTTTTATTTGTAGTATTGTTACGCTGCTGAAGTTTGATGTCTTGATCCTGAACTAATGAAATGGAAATGTGTAGAGACTGTTGATCATACAACTTGTTTGACTCCTGGTCCATTTCTCAGTTCAAATGTCTCATGACAGAGAAGAATCTTTTTGATTATTTGAACTGGAAATAACACACTTGTGGAAAAATGATAATAATAGAAGTTACAAATTGAAAAGCTGATTCATGGTTTGGCCACCGGACATAAAATTCATTAGCAGCACATGTTTGTGAGAGTCCAACAGACAGTCTGCAATACAAGCTAGAAGAGTAAACTGGATGCTCACTGTACAGTTGTTTGCTTTTTTTTTGACATTTTCACTTTGTCCAGAAAATACAACAAAAGAGGAGCTCTCCTTCCTGCCAGGAGGTCTCCATCATGTTTTCAGTGTGGAACGAGCTTTCACAGACCCTCATGTGTTGTATGTACAGAGGTGCGTCCGCCTGCCAGTACTGGAGTATGACTGAGGCTTTACTGGTGCCTGAAGAGACACAGAATCCAGGATGTGACATGGCAGACTTGAAGATTAGAATATGGTGACAGTATTAGTACAGTACAGAGTGTTGCATCTGTGTTTTACACCTGTAAAGCCTCCAAATCATTTGCATCAAAACTGCATCAAAACAGAATTATTTATCCGTTAATTACATCAGGGGAAATGCCTGGTGAATTAGTAAAACCAGAGGCCACGACCTGCCAGATTAATAATTAAAAGCAGCAGTGAAGCCCCCGGCTCCCTCCCCCTCCCCTGAAACTGATGGAAAACAATTTTAGCTGAGTGGGATCAGTGATCTCTCCTGGTGCAGGGATAGAGGTTGCCATACCCTTCATTTGAGAAACAATTAAAACACTGGTTAAGGAACTGGGGTTGGGAGTGGATGACTGAATGTCAGCTGGCAGCTGCTCAGTGCTGCTTATCACACTTCATTAGTACAGAGCTGCAGCAGCCACAGAGCTGCAGCAGCCACAGGGCTACAGCAGCCACAGGGCTACAGCAGCCACAGGGCTGCAGAGCTGCAGCAGCCACAGAGCTGCAGGAGCCACAGAGCTGCAGCAGCCACAGGGCTACAGCAGCCACAGGGCTGCAGAGCTACAGCAGCCACAGGGCTGCAGAGCTGCAGCAGCTACAGAGCTGCAGGAGCCACAGGGCTGCAGCAGCCACAGGGCTACAGCAGCCACAGGGCTGCAGAGCTACAGCAGCCACAGGGCTGCAGAGCTGCAGCAGCCACAGAGCTGCAGGAGCCACAGAGCTGCAGCAGCCACAGGGCTGCGGAGCTGCAGCAGCCACAGAGCTGCAGCAGACAGAATAGATGTGTAGTGGCTCCCTATTCATGCTGAGTGGAAGTGTGTAAATGTAACAGTGTAACAGTGACTGTCCTGTGCTCGGTCCTCAGATGAAGCAGATGGAGGACAGGCTGAGGAGCTGCGAGGCTCAAAGGGAGCTGACAGCTCTGAGGTGCAAACTGCAGCTTGTGGAGGAGGAGAAGAAGGAGTACACTGAAAAATGCACCAAGGTTGAAGTGGAGGTCAAGGATCTACGGTTTACAGGTGAGGGTGTATTTTGAACTGTAAGGACAAGATGAGCTGTGGGGCATTACACTGTACACTATAGAGTATCAGCACTATAAAGGAAACATTTCATTTACAGTATGACCATGAGATTCATCAGCTGCTCTTTAGTCTTCACGATAACACTGTTCTCTAATGTTCTCTCTGCTGCTGTGTGTGTGTGACGTCATTGACTGGCCAGTTGAGGAGCTCCAGAAGAAGCTACAGGCAGCTATCAACCCACCCCCAACTCCAGCACCACCACCTCCCCCACCTCCTCCCCCTCCAGCCCCAGCTCTGGCCTCCAACCCCCTCAGGTTTGATCACACACAGTTTGCTCTGTACTTCATCAGTTAGGGGATCATTTTCACTATGATGCACCTTTCATACAATGAAATGCCAACAACTGATGGTGAAAGGGTTTTACTTCAAATCTAGATGTATATCTGAAGAATTCATTCTATCCTTTTAAAAAAATCGGAATATTTTTTCAGCCTTCTGGCGACTGAATCCTCACACAGCCTGGTGGCACCCTCACTGCCATGGTTAGCCTTTAGTTGGCCCTCATCATATGTGTTGAGTCAATTGATGCTGAACTGGCACTGTAGGTAGTCAGTGAGAAAGAGCTCTGTGTGTAACTGTCTGGTTTTTACATAATTTTTTTATTCATTCAGCTGTGCAGGCAAAAACTGAAATCTAATACTGTATATGATCAGGATCAACACATTCATGTGAAATCCTGAAATCCTATGAGAACGTGGGTTGGTTCCTGTCAAAGCAGGTTTCCATGTGTCCTCCCCTGCAGCTCACTATTGTCACTGATCCGAAAGAGAAGGGACATCAGTGTTGACATCCCACTGGTGGTCCAGGACTCTGCCAAGACAACAGGTACACATCCAACACCCACAGAATATGAATGATATACTGTTTGTCACTGCACCATTCAACACCTGGTGTGTCCACTGTAAAGGACAATTTGGACTGGACGGTTGTGAGCGGCTTGTCCACCAAGCAGAAGGTCACTGGTTTGATCCCCAGCTCCTCTCGTCTCCAAGATACTGAACCCCAAAAAATGCATCATCACTGTGTCTGATAGAGTAAAACTCTGGATTCATACATTCCATTTGCCATTTGGCTGTCAGGTCTCCATTATCTTTTGTAACATACAGTGTAACTCGATGTAGTATTAATACAGAACACACAGTGAAGGTTTTAGAACCAGGAGTTTAGGAGTTTTATTATGTGCCTGCAATGCAATAGCATCGAAGGCATATATTATTATTAAGTTTTTTTTTAAACTAACTTTATTTATAACATTTGGACGATAAATACTCCTTTCCTAACATACAACCTAAAATATACAAATACAGGAAGCTTAACCATTAAAATAACTGAAGGAATAGAAGGAACTGAGCAACAGATCAGAATGAATTAGATTCAGACAGAAGTTTATAGTTTTCTTTAGTAGGTGCTTTTGACATTTCTATAAATTTGTTAACTAGAGAAAATTTATTTTTAGGTCTTTACACAATGGGAGGGGATTTAGTAAAACAACATTTATGTATAGACTATAGTATTCAGTTATAATGATGATATTGTTAACTATAAATTCAATCTGCTTGTTCTTCATACTGATTTAAAGAGAATAAATCTATATTTATGGATTTGGACTTCAGTCGATCAGACAGGGATTTCCATCAGTTCTTGATCATGTCACAATCATAAAACAGTTTTATCTGTTGTTTCTACATTTATGTGGGTCTGCTGTGGTGATACTACAATGGTGTGTCACTTTAAATGCTGCTGCAGCAAGAAATCTCTCCTTTCCTTTCATAAAGGAAGTTCTAGTGTTTTCTATGCTAAAGGAGATAAGATAGGAAGCACTGAAGCTCTTTTCCTCATACTTTGTGGACCAGCTGTAATCATGGCTGCTGCTCAGAGACTTAAGCTCCTTTCACTTAGTTTGAACCTTAAGAAGACTTTTTGACAACAGCCCTGGTGTTTGATGTTTGCTCAGCCAGGGTTCCTTTATGTTTCAGTGTTTCAGACTCAGGCCACAGTGGACTTTACGTCTCTTTTTTATATATTGAATATTATGAGGGAAGATCTTTGGTGGACATTATTGAAATTTCTTGCTTTAATATGCAAATATTAATTTTGCATTGCTGCATAAAAGATTTTTTGTGCTGTGAGTGATGACAGTGAGGGAAACGCTGTATTAATGTCCAGACCCTGTCGCTCACACTCTCTGAGAGTCTAGACATTCAGCATATCTGTCCTTTCTCTATGTGATGTATGATCATTTAGTATTTTATTCTCCTCTCCTCTGCTGCAGTTCATATATTTCAGTGATGGAGAACTGGTCTTGAATCCTGTTTTTTCCTTCCTGTATTCTTTTCGCCTTTTCCTTTGCAAATCAATGTCACTTATGTGTAGAAGGACAAATGCTGTAGCAAGTGGTGCATGAGAAATGCAAACTCAAATCCTCATCACTGGCCTATTAGGTCAACATGTTAAATTCTTCAATTTGTGCAAACAAAGGAGAAACCTTGACTTGTTGGAGCAGGTAGAACATCCATGCTAACTGAACAGGCTGCGCTGGCTCCTCATTTTGTTAAGTAGTTTTTGAATATGTGAGGCCTGAATTGGGCACTACGCTCAGGGTATCTTCTACTCTGACACCAGAATAATAGTCTCTTTCTGAGCACTTTGGAGGAAAATATTTTACCATTACTTTAACACAAAATCATTTTTGTGTGACATTTTAAAGACATCTTACCAACAACAGCTCCATTGTGGAAGCTGTTGAATGTTCTGTGTTAGCAAATTAAATATTCACATTTCTTTGCCAATAGGCTGCATTATTGCAGAATTTGATTTTTTGTTCCCGTCTTTTGTGAGCTTGAGAAACTCTCTTTTCCTCACACAACTTTTGGATGAAAAACTGATGAATAGTGTTTGTGTTTTTACAAAGTCGACATTCATTCCAGATGATTTTGGTAGCCTCACACACTGTAAAGGTGTGCTCTGAATACCACAGAATTAACAACAGCAATAATGACTGTTCCCAGACTACAGCCACAGCCGTCAGAGCTGACGATGATATGGCTCAGTTTATAATTAAGAGGAAAACCTGGAGTTTCTCCAACAATAGCCCCACTGATTGTTCCTGTGGGTTTGTGTCATTTTTAAGCTTTTACATCCAAGTGAGTTTTATTTCAATTGCAGTGCTAATGACGCATGTGAATTACACAGCCTCTCAAAGCCATTTCAACTCATTCTGGCTCTTGGCACAGTTTCCCACTGAGGCAGACAGGGAAGCCACTAAACACAACACGCCTGTGTGTCTTGCTTGCTGTGTGTGTGTTGTGCTCAGAGATGGACGTCAGGCAGCAGGCGGTGGACGAAATGATGCAGAGGATCAAGAAAGGCATTCAGCTTCGACCCCTCAACCAATCACCCAACAGAGCCAGGAGACAGGTAACTTCAAACATCTCCTAACATGGTGTATTCCCCCGACGTGGTCTGTGACCTGCTCTGGTTTCATGTCAGTGAACTGTCAGTAATGATTCAAGAAGCTGCGTGTTCTCCCATGTGTGCCGGCACACACCCGTGCAGGCTGGATGTGTGGACGTCTTGATCTGCGTGTGTGGACATCTATGTGTGTGTGTGTGTGTGTGGACATCTTGATCTGTGTGTGTGGACAACTGGCTGTGTGTGTGGAGGTCATGATCTGGGTGTGTTGAATATGAATATTGAATATTGGACACCTGACACATTTTCAAAAACTGGTTTTGAACCATTTTAAACTCATTCTCTGAATTAATATGTGACTCCTGTTGAGTCTGAAACCACACTGTAGATTTAATGTTTATTTACTGATGTAATGTTTATTTATTCAATGATGTAATGTTTGGTTATTTAATGATGTAATGTGTTTTGTGCTGACCTGCTAACATCACTGTGAGGCTAATCCACAGTTAGCAAACAGCTTTACCTTTATTCAAATCTAAAACGCCTCCTCACATTACTTCATGACATGTCATGATCTTCAGTCGCTCAGGTCACACAGCTGATTGTCTCCATGTTGTATTAACAAACAGAACAACAGTCTTGTCCCCTGAGGCCAACAGTGAGTCACAGTGAAGGTGAAGTTTAGGAAAACATCCTGTTGGACTCAGTAATATTCTGTCACACATCACAAACCTAATAAAGTCACCAGGTCGATGACAGAGAAACACAACTGACACATTTTATTATTGTGATGTTAGTCACAAATTCAATAAAGATGATTAATATGTTATAATTTACTACAGGGATATTATAGACATGTTACTGAGCCTCAAACTCTAAAGTGAGTAGCTGGTGCTCTAATGTTTTTGTTCTTCAACACTGCTTCATTTTTCATGCCAAATAATGTGACATACAGTACACGCTGCTGCATTCATGAAATATACTGAGCCCTCCAGGCCCGTGTGTTGGCAGCTGTGAACCCTCTGTGTCTTATCTGGAACACAGGAAGAATTGTGGTTTACATTGGGCTGAACAGAAGAAGAGTTTTGTAGTGAGACAGACAGAGAGCACAACCCAGCTAAAAGTCCAACCCAAACTGCAGACCTGTCTTATAGACTAACACTGAAGACATGAGACTGGATATATGTTACATTAGAGGAAGTGTGTTTTCATTTTCCCTGAAATCACCCAGCCTCGGCTGCAGACGTCCAGGCTCTGAGGCCTGAATTAGTTTGGTACATTGTTGAGCATATTGTTCAGTGCTCTTAAATCCATCAGTGTGTGGGATTATCCAAGAGCTACTTGTTTCCATAAAACATGACATATGGCCAAGACATCTTTTAGTCTGCGTGTTCCTCCACTACAACAACTCTGCCAAATTAGATAGCATTAGATAGGACCTGCTCCGCAAGGTAATTATAAATAATGAGGATGGGAAAATTGACGTGACTCAGAATGATTGTGTGTTGACACATTTGCTTCTTGTAGAAAGCATACGTCCTCGTGCTGCAGTGTCTCGTCTCGGTGGTAAGAGGTGCAGTTTAGCCTCTAAGTGCTGATTGAGGAAAAATAAGTATAATGGGTCAGACTGCTGTTTATTTACCAAACCCATCTTTTTCCTCCAATTTTCCTTTTGTCAGATGCAGCGGCTGCCCTCTAATTCTGCCATTCAGGAACTTAAAGGAATCATGGTAATGATCAACAATCAAATATCCTCACAAGCCATATTTTACTAGTTGAACTTTCACTGTATTTACACAGGAGGAGACTTTGTTGTCTCCACTGTACGAGGACGAGCTCACAACAGAGTTTAATGTTCAAATAAAATATCATTAAACAAAGGTGGAGAAGTCGTCTATATTTTACCTAAAGAAAGTTACTACAGCGTATGCAGCACATATTCTGTTACTGTCATACTGTTAATTATCCAGAGTTGAAATTACTGCAGCTTCTTCACATCTGATCATGTCTCAGCTGACCAGGCCTCTGTCTGTCTGTCCAGGAGAATTTCAATAGAACCCCCCCCCAACCAAAGGCAGCATCTCCATCAACAAACCATGATGAGGAGCTTCAGAGGATCCTCCTGCGACGGCGGGGGGCACTGGAGTCCTAACACACACACCAGTAAGTTTCATCTCCATCACAAGAAAACTCTCTGTGGGCTGTGATGCATCCACCAAGGTCAGTTTCACAAATACAGACTTTGACTGTGGCTTATATATAACAAACAGTCAGACTTCACATAGACTGAGTCTGAATTCATCTGTTGCACAAAGCAGTTTAGTTCTCGACCATCTTAAGTCGGACTGTGGTACAATGAATTCTGTGTAAATTTAGACCTTTTTCAATATAAAAAAATGGCCGATAGAGGAACCACATCCAACCACTCAGTTCTGTTCACCCCAGCAGAACGTGTTTGTGTTTTGGAAGAATTCAACAGTTACAAGGACGTTTTACTTCAGTGAAGAGTGAAACAATAAAAAGAAAAATCTGATTTTTTTGGTCTGTAAAAACTCTTTCCCTTCTCTTCGCTCTCTCCGTAACAATGTTAGCAAACCACAAATTATGAACCATGTTTTCCTGTTTTTTGTTGTTGGGTGCTACTGATCAGCGCAGGTGTCATTGATTGTTACCATGTTAGCATTGGTCTTAGGCGTGAGTTTCCCTGGGGGTAAAATGTCTAAGGTTTTTGTCTTAAAATGAGTTAGTCTTTATTAGTGAAACAGCATTAGACTGATCTATGAACAGAATGAAGACTGGACCAACACCAGAGACCAGTCTGAAATATCTTTGTGAAACTGGGCCCTGGTTTTTCTGGTGAGAGACATGTGCATTGTTGCTCATCAATCAATCATCCTCCATCCTTATTTCATTATGGCAGCAGAGCAAAGAGCTGATCTTTTGTTTTTCACTAACTTTAAAACATGACGAATGGTGTTGTGGATTCTCTCAGATGAATGGTCCTTGTTGAAAAGGTGGTGGATTTTTCTGACAGATGTTGAAGTGAATATAAGCATAGCTCACACTGAAGCCAAACAGCTGTGACCTCAGGAGCTAATCCTCTGTGATGTGGACCTTTGGACAAGCAGTATAAACCTCCGCTCTACTTTCATAGTGGTACAGCAACACAGCAGATCTACCAGCTCTGTATCTTTTTACAAACATAACTTTTTACAAGCCTCCAATCACCTCCTCGTGGTTGTCTGCTTCCTCCACTCAGACTAGTTCCCTGTTTATTAAATAAAATATGAACCATGTCTGAGTTAGTGAGTGTCCTGAGTTATGGCTAAAAAGTGTTTTGTCAGGTCACACTGACCTTGACCTTTGACCACCGAAATCTAATCGGTTCATCTTTGAGTCCATGTGAATGTATGTGCCAAATTTGAAGAAGTTCCCTTAAGGTGTTACTGAGATATCATGTTCACAAGGTCAAAATCACGTTTTGTCACCGTGACCTTGACCTTTGACCTTTGACTAACAAAATCTAATCAGTATAGTATGAAGGTGTTTTTGGTGCAAAACAACTGAGCACCTGTGACAGTGGAATTAGTAGTTGTATAAAATAGTCACACATGTGTATCAGTAAATTTGAGGTCACAGAGAAAAGATGCTCTAGGAGTTTCACATTTGTCGATTTTTTCCTCTTTCACACACATGAAAGTTACACCTTGTTAAATTCTTCAGTGCAGGTGCACAAATCCTGTTTTACAAATCACATTTTTGCTCCAGTTGCTGCAGTGAATGTGGTGCACATTCACACACCCGTATCAAATAATGTGAAGTCATGGACAAAATTTGCACATCTTCAAATCAGAACGTGAATTCATGCAATGAGAGTTGCACATCTGTAAAATATTTTCTTTTTTCTTCTTGGATATTTTTTATTGCACAAACACAAGTCAATAACTACAACTGCTTGAATCTTCCATTACGAAACTAAAATGGCAAGTTCTGCACGCTCTGACTTTTGCACCAAATGTCTCTGTGAAATGTGGAGCAAAAGTGATTTGTACCTGTGGCACCTCAAGCCACGCCCACCTCTGAAGCTGCATTGGCTTCTGAAGTCTCATCATCATCTTCCTCACCTGTGTGATTTTGTCAGTTTTTCAGCTCAGCTCTTGGTTTCTGTTAAACATTCTATAGTGTGTTTGCCTCTCTGTGCAGGTCCCACCCCCCACGCCCCCCCCTCCCAACCCAGGTGTGTGTGAAGGGTGTGACCAGGCTCTGACATCAGACTCCATGACAACAGACAGGATGAGGCTGATAGAAGATAACAGGATGTAAAGTCAAGAACTTCACTGTGCTGTGTGTTTATATTTAAAGTGGCAACAGACAACTTTTTTGTTTTAACTTATGATTATGAAGTATATGTTCATTGGATGTTGTAAGAGTGTGTAGAGTAATGACACCATCAGCGTTTAGATTTATTACCTGTAAACCTCACTTTCACTATATGATTTTATGAGTGAACCTCAGACAGGCATTCACACAAGTCTGAATTCACTGAGGGAGGGCCAGTAAAACCTTTATGCACTAATTTACAGCCCACTGAGATTAGTGTTGTGACCGTGAGGAGAGCTCAAACCCACATTCAGTCGGCCTTATTTCTACTGGATCAGTCAGCTTATTAATACAACCGGAGGCCAGATGTAGAAATGATGCGTACACACAGAAATCATGCGTACGTCATTTCCCACACATAAACTGGTCTTTATAAAGACAGAATGTGTCACCTCACTCATTCCTTTGACCATGTGAACACACAGTTTTCCAAAGTGATCCAAGTTACTGTGAAGTGAAAATACAAAATAATAATAATAATAATTTAACAAAAAATAAAATAACCAACTTCACGGAGCGTCATTTATTATCATCATTATAAGTTTTACTTTACAGCAATAACAATTTTACAATTCATAAACAGAAATAATAGTGTTTGTGTTCAATGTTTCCTTCAGCATCATTTAATATCCTGATTATTCATTGTGAGTCATTCTGTAACTGTTTGATACTTTTTGAATATTTACTTACTACAGTGTTAGAGCCTGTGGAGCCTCGTTAAGACTCTCTGGTCCCAATAAATAAAGTTCAGAGTAAAACGGACTTTACATTAGAATGACTGTACTAAAGTAAACTGATGCAGGTTTTTACCTCAGTTTCACAATTCATTGTTCTTCTCTGTGTCTGATCACTTTTGGTGGAGACAGTGTTTTTTATACAAACTAATTGATTAAGGGAGAGTCTTCATCCAGTTATTGTGGTAGTGGAAATGAGACTTGCACTCATGCGCCCAATTTCTCAATGTTCATTGATTGGAAGTTGTCTATTGGCACTTTAAAATCATGTGATTGTATTCTGAGTTAGTGATACAGTGTGAAGGGTCCTGAGTGAAAAGAAATGAGAGCAGACATCCTGGTTGTGAGGTTACATAGCATGTGGACCAAGAGCACAAGCGTGTCATTGATTTACACTGAGTTTCATTTCATTGAAATGAACTGTGTGTATCACACACCACCTTTTCAGGGTTGATTCAGCTCTTTCTCTAATGGTGACAGGAGAGCCCAGTGTATTGTTTGCGGAGCAGGAACAGTTCTGCAGCCTTGAGGATTTGCTAAAGCGAAGTCGCTGAATGCTTATGTCTAGACTAGTTTTAACCTTGTAGCCATCCAGTGAGCAATTACTGAGCACTGAGGCTGATTCCGTTTTCACTGCTCCCCTCACTCACTCTTATACCCCCCAACCTTCTTAGGCCCCCCATTGTATGTGGGGCACCGCCTCCTCTCTGTTGCCTCCACTCTGCAGTGTTACTACCTGTTTGGCTGTAGAACAGAGGTCAGGCTTTGGGACAAACATTTTCAGATGCTTCTCACTGTTAGCAGGAGTTCAGATAAAAACAGAGCTGCTGCTGGACTGTGTTGGTGCAGGCCCGGTTCTAGACTGCTTTACTTGGGGGGGCATTAAGAGATGTTGACTGGTCACTAAGTGCAGGACTTGACTGAGGTCCTCTATGAATGTTCTTTAGGACTGTAAGCTATAACATATGTTCTCTAAAACTAAAGCCATAGCATCTAATAGTACATAAGACATGCAGACCAACTAATCAGATATAAATAAACTGATTGGTCAAATCAACAACGACAAAATAAAATACTTTTCCTTTTTCTTTTTTGATTTGGTGGGGCAGTCGGAGCATTCCCGGAGCATTACTGGGTTGTTGTTGTTGTTATTGTTGATGTTGTTGTGGGATTTTCTCTGTGGGACTCATGAATCAACAAACCTGAATCCTACAAAGTATTTTCATATTAATTACTAATTTGCAACAATAAATAGATTTTAAGAGAAACATATTTTAGCCAAGATTATAATTTAATCAACACTTCTACTGAACGTATTTGTCAAGTCACAAAATGTTGATGCCGAATGAATCAATAAATTTTTCACTGACAACATATTTATTATGTTCTCCTACAATATCCATGTGTTATTCCTGAATCATGACTGATGTTCTGTTCAGGAAACTCAAAGATCTGGGTAACGCCACTTCTACACCAGACTCTGGTCCACTGACATGGATCTCTCCATGTTTTTGTGTCAAATTGTGAGTAAATGAAACGAACCTTGATGTTTACAGTAACATGTCCAGTCATCAGATTCTGTTGTATTCATGTATGTAAATACAATGAGATACAATGAGTAAAGTGACATCACTAAATATATTACAATAACACTTGAGCACTAACCATGTTACAGTGACTTACGGTGGATTGTCTCTTTAAGCCTCAGTCAGAGGTGGTGTAAGTCAGGTGTGGAGCCGGGGATCAGCCTGTGCCCTTTGAAAACCACAGTGAATGCTGGTAATTTAACTATAATGGTGGGCTGCTCTCGTCTCGTTTTGTTTTACCTCAACACCTGCCTAGATTTCCCAGACACTTCCTTGAGTGAGGGATTGAAACATGAGAGCCGTGAACTGTGGGCAGTGTCCGTCACTTATTGTGTGCTGCTGTTAATTAAAGCTTTAGGCTTCGTTTAGCACTGAGGTGCAATTTCCAGCTCCCAGTCCCCCCCATCAGAAAATGGTGGAAATGTAGTTGTCTCTTCTCTGACAAGATTCATCAGCAGTGCTCTTCAGAGATCCATCCACACACACAGGAAATCACATTCTAAATTTATTTAACCTCAGATTTTGTGACAACTGTGGATCTCATAGAAACAGGAAGTGGTCTGAGAGGAGATTATATGAACTAATCAGATATGCACAGAGCATATTTGGCTTTTTGTCCTGACAACAGCAGCGTGAAGATGTGAGAATTATCTTGGATAATATGTTGGAGGTTAGAGTCAGGCCGACCTGCTTGAGTAGGAGTAAAGTGAGAAAAAAGGAGAAGGCCTTTGTATTGATCTTTGTCTCCTCATATCCTCTATATCAAATGAGGTTCTTCTCATCGAGGCCATCCTGGCATGACTCAATTGTGTGCCCACATACAATATAGTGTTTGATTCAGTAGAGTGATGAGTGTGTCTCTTCCCTCAGGAGAAACAAAGTCAATGACCAGGTCAGCCTTCCTCCACCATCTGCTCCAGCTGCAGACTCGTTGACGTTGAATGACAGACGGTACACACACCGCCAATCGAGGCAAAACATGTCATTACACAGACCATGCTGTGTCCTTTTCTTTACTCCGTTTCTTCTTCACTGCCACAGCCTATTGTCGACACTCTGTCTTTTCTCTCGTCATCAGCCGATACAATATAATGTTTTGTTTTTGTATTTTTGTCCCTTTGGGGACCAGCAATTAGGGAGGTCCTTTTAGTGTGTCTGGGAAACACTTAATTTGACCTATTTTGTTAGTCATTTCATTTATTTTCCCAAACACAGTAATTGCCTGCCAGGGAGCCTCCGTTGAGCTGCGGCTGTGCGCCCGGCCTCAGTCTGTGTCTGCATGTTTTCATTGATTAGAGGTTGTCTTCGCTCACCGACATTTACAGCAGCACTGAGTGCAACTGCCAGCAAATCAAGAAACCAAATACTATCAAAAACAATTGGAGAACATTTGTAATTTAATTTATTTGTCTGACATTAAAGTACATATGAAATTTGTAGAACATGAAGCAGCTGTTTTACCTAGAAATAATCTAAAAATAGAAGGAACATGTGAACTGTGGTGACTTAAAAAGAAATAAGAGACATGTTTACATTCAGTGTTGTTTCGAACGAACCGTCTGTCAACATGTTCAGTCGAAATTTTTATTTCAATCCTTTAAACTTGAGCGGGACCATTGTGGTGTCAGCAGGGCCATGTCAGTCGGATCCTGTCTGTTGTCTGTTTAACAGAAAAGAGCTGTGAATATGGGATAACTCACTTGACAGGCACATTGATGCAGCTGTATGTGGCTGGTACACAAAGCACTTGAGAAGCTCTTCCACTTATCACTTTATACAAGCAGTCTTTTCTCTGTGCTGCAGGCCAGGCACAGCTCCTCTCCGCTCCTGTTTTTACACACTGACACAATCCTTTCCTCCAGAAACTGAGGAGCCATGAGAGGGGTCAGCCAGGGTGCTGACCAGGTATGAAGACAAGAGGCCAGCGTTGTTGGACAACACTAACACAGCTGTGTGTGTGCAAATGTGTGTGCGTGTTCTCTGGCTTTTGTCCTCCCACAGCTTCTTACAGCCTTTTTTTATCCATTTCTATTAAAGCAAAGCTGCTGCTGCAAAAACGAACAAATGGACACAGTGAATCAGTAACATATATATATATATATGTGTGTGTATGTATGTATGTATGCGTGTGTATACATATATATATATATATGTGTGTGTATGTATGTATGTGTGTGTATACATATATATATATATATATAAATATATAGTATATATATTTTGTATATGTACATAAAGTGGTTTAAGAATTTTATTTAATTTATTCATTTATTTGTTTGACAGTATGAGTATGCTGCGTGGCCCTGATCTTAGAGTTGTGAATATAAAATTAATGTCATTCATCTGAAATTCAGTGGTGTGTTTTCATGTATCGTGGTTTATCTAGATTAGTGGGGTCTGGACCCCCTAAAGGTAAACACAGCATGTTTTTAAAAACTCTTTTTCTTGTGATTTGAAGTGAACAATTTTACCTCGGCTATTATTCAAATAAAACAGAACTGATTACTACATAGAGTCATGAGTAAAAGATATTGGGAACCTGATGCAGGTTTTGTTTGATTTTTGTAAGTGACACACATGAAGCTAATTAAATGTTTAAAATATACAAGTGGGTGAATGTATTCTGTGTTTTGACAATAATACAAATTTAAAACTGTTCGAAAATGTCTGTTTAGAAAAAAAAAAGAAAGGTACATACATTAATCACATAAAATGAAGACCTCCACCAGTGGATCTGTACTGTCTCCACTGTAGTGAAGGCTGAGGGCTCATGTGTTGTGTTATGGCTCATGAGTGCTGCTATATTTGGATATTTTTATGGAGATGGTTGACTGTGATTTGAAAGCAGACCTGTGTTTGTGTACAGTGCCTGGTATGGCTTGTATACACCTGAAGGGGTGACGAGATGTTTGGCTTTTAAAAACTGCTTTATTGAAGGTCGTGTTTAGCCACTCAGCCTGTCTCTCAATAGCTTCATATTGATTTTTTTTTTTACCACAATAACACTAGCTTATTGCATTTTATAATGTTTATAATCAACTCAGTAGGTTTTATAAGTGAAATCCTGACCTGCAAGTAAGTGACAACAGCAGAATTGAAGTATGAAAATAAAATATATACATAGTATTTAAATCAGTCATATTTTCCTGACAGAAACAGAAGCTGAGAGCTGTATTCCTTCAGGCCTTGTCTGACAGATGTCTCTCTGCAGTAGTGGACTGCTTTTGTAGGTTTTCATTGAACAGTGGAGGGGGGTGCTTCTCCTTGGAGACTGTGACAAGACAAAATAATGAAATAAAGTGAATGGACAAAAGCTGGAACACAAACGACTCAGATAACAGGACAGCAATCACGTTTCTGCTTCTGCAGCTGAAGCATACTGAGTCTTTCACTCAGTCACAGTAACACAAACATTAAACAGCAATAAACATGTGAAATAAACTTTTTATGACGGGAGTGGATTACAAACAGACATGTACTCATCTTGTTAACTCTCCACTTTCTCTGCCTGCTTTTTGGAAACGATGGATGGGAAAGTATTTGTTCCTGTGTGTAATTAGGCAGCCAATTAACAGATCCAAGGTAGGGGCTTTCATTCTTCCACTCACACACACAAATACACATTTGTATGATTCCTCACACATAGTTTCTTTTTACATCCAGCACAGAGAGAGAGATGTGTGTTCTCAAGCTCAGGCATTACTGCCTCTCTCTCTCTATCGCTTTGTCTGGCCTCCTTTTTCTCAGTCTAGCTAAAAAAGATGAGGGAGGAGCATAAAAAACCCACCCAGGATTCCTTGTTGGGCCAGTTCTTCCTCTATAGAAATCAGCCGGTTGTATTTAGTCATCCTCTCAGCACCACTCAGACCTCCCAGTTTGACATAGTCCAGCCCCAGACCCACAGCCTGAGGGAGGAGAGGCAGACTGTGAGACAGAAACTGATGGTGAGGAAACATCTGTATAAATGCTCCCCAGCTGCAACATAACATCACAACAAGAAAAAGGACACAACACAATGGTGAAATGTCATAGTCATCAAATCTTTATCAGGTAAAAGGGAGATGTAAAGTCAAAACATAATTTAGCATCTTTTAATTGGCGGGACTTTTTTTTTCTTGACAGTGCTTTTGTCTTTACTCTGTGTAACACTGGGGTGTGCATATGCTTTCAACCCTCTAGGAATGCACTCAGAATAATGAGGGTCAGGGGTCAAAGTGCTGCTGTGCCTGGAGGCCAAGATCTCTTCCACACACTCAGTCACTGACTCTGTCCCTGTGTTTAAATCCTGCCTCAGGACATTTTTGTCAAAGGGATTCTCCTAATACTAATTCATGACTAAAAAGTCAAAACCATCAGAAATGATTATTACCAAGTGAATACAGCAATGTCCAATTAGAAGGAAGACAAGAAGAGGCAGAAGATTTCTTCCATTAATACATCAACTACTTCGGTGTGGCCTCAAGACCTACACTGGCATCTAAATAGATCTACAGTTCATTTAAGTCTTCAGACCCCTTCAATTTTTTCACTTTTGTTATGTTGCAGTTTTATAGTAAAATAAGTCCCTCATCAATCTACACTCAATCCCCCATCATGACAAAGTGAAAACAGAATTTTAGAAAGTTTTACAAATTTATTAAAAAGGAAAAACTGAGGGGCATCGAGTGGCGCAGTGAGTTGAGCAGGCGCCCCATATGTAGAGGCTACAGTGCTCGCTGCAGTCGACCCCGGTTCGAATCCCGCATCGGATGGCCCTTTACTGCATGTCATTCCCCCTCTCTCTGCCTCCCCATTTCCTGTCTCTCTCTACTGTGCTATCAATAAAGGCATAAAAAGCCCCCCCCCCCACAAAAAAAAGGAAAAACTGAAATATCCCATTGAGTATTCAGGTACTTTTAGCTCATGTTCCTCCATTTCTCTGGATCATCTCTCTTCACCTTGACTGGAGTCCACCTGTGGTAAAGTCAGCTGAAGACACACACCTGTCTATATCAGGTCTGACGATGCAGATCAGAGCAGAAACCATGAGGAGGGGAGAGGAAGGAACAGCTGCAGAGCTCAGAGACAGGGTTGTGTTGAGGCTCAAAAACATTTCTGCTGGATTGAGGGTTCCTGAGAAGAACACTGGTCTCCATCATCTATCTATCCATCCATCCATCCATCCATCCATTCTGTGGTCAAACAGGTCATTTTATTGCCTCCAGTCCAGTTCAGCCAAAAGGCAGGGCTCACTGTGGGGGTATTGGTGAGTCAATCTGTGTCCTCACTCCCACCAAAGTTCTGGCTACGAATTCATGCAACCTTTGGTTATAAGGCACTCGCCTTTCCTCTCCAAGGAAAGATTCAAGGGCTGAAGATAATTTCATTGACCATGATTTGGTCATTCAGTCTGGTGTGCCCCTGGAACCACTAGCGTTCCCCCTCACTGTTAATGCTCTAGGCGGGAGGTTTTTGGTCCAAGTAACTCACAGCACAGCTCCTGTCACTTTACTGCTGTCTGGTAATCAAGGACAGTAAACAACAGAGCATAATTTAAGCTCCCAAAACACCTCTGGTCCTTGGCCATCCCTGGTCTTCTGGGAGAGTCTCTCTCTCTCTATTTTGTCACTCACATTGTTTGCAGTCTGCTTTGTCTCTTGTAGACTTGTCAACCTTACCAGGGATGTATCATGATTTAGGGAGGCATTCAGCAAAGATTTGGCCATTGGCCATCCTTGCCCCCACATTGCACGTACGATTGCAACATCAACCTGCTGCCTAGGAACCCCTTACCATCAAGCTAACTCTACAACCTGTCTCACCCAGAAAGATGCCATGGAGTTTTTGGCAGCAGGTATAATTTGTCACTCCTCCTCCTCTTAATGCTGGGTTTTTTTTGTAGCACTGTTGCTTATCACCTCTGCTTTTGAGATGTGTATGTGATATCCTAATTTTTTCCAAAAACATGAATGAACATATTTCCCATGTCGACCAGGTTCTGCAAAACCCCCAGAGAATACAAACTTCTAGTGAAGGCCAAGAAGGGCATGTTCAACACCAAGACAATGAATATGTTTATCACTGAGGGCAGGCAGGTGAAGACCAATCCAGAGAAAATCAGGGCAGTGAGGCCTAAACCCCCAAACTGCAGGCAGCTCCTGCTTCTGGGCTTTGCCAACTTCTACCATCGGTTCATCAAAGACTTCTGCAGCGTGGCTTTCCCTTTCATTAGATTAGTCTCTTCCTCCATCCCATTCTCTTGGATCGAGGTGGACCTCGCTTTCTCACAGCTTAAGAGCCTCTTCACTTCTGCCTCTATCCTGGTCCATCCAGACCCCCCTCACCAACTCATCGTAGAAGTAGATGTATCTTACTGTAGAGTGGGGGCTGAACTCTCAGCACTCAGGTCCAGACCAAAAACTCCATCACTGTGCCTTTTTCTACCAAAAGCTGCCACTAGCAGAGCAAAAATGTGATGCGTGAACTGAGAATTGTTGGAGGTAAAACTAGTGTTAGAGGAATGGAAGCACTGGTTAGAGGGTACTGAGCAGCCTGATCATAAGAACCTAGTCCAGATCCAGTCTGCTATACCGCTAAACTCCAACCAAGCCTGCTGGTCCCTGTTTTTCAGCCACTTAAGCTTTTTTCTTAACTTTTCGCCCAGGTTCCCATAACATCAAACCAGATGCTATCTCCCAGCATCACACCTCTGAAAAATCCCCTTCCTGTCTAGACACTATCCTTCCCTCATCCTGTGTGGTGGTGGCAGTGAGCTGGGAGTTTGAGTCGGTGGTAAGAGGCCCAACTGTATCAACAGGTAGGTAACCCAGGTAACTGCCCTCATAACTGCCTCTTTGTGCCTGACAATCACAGGTTCTGTAATGGGCTCTCACTACCACCCTGGAATCAACTGCACCCTGAGTCTGCTCAAGAGACACTTTTGGTGGCCAACAATGAAGATCGACACCCATGACTATGTCTCTCCTTGCTCCATCTGTACCCAGGGGAAGACCTCACATCATCGTCCAACTGGACTGCTGTGTCTGTTGCCCATCCCCAGTCGTCCCTTGTCCCACACATGACTTAGTTACGGGCCTACCTCCTTTGCAAGGTAAAAGTTATTTTCACCATAGTGAGAAAGGCTACGGTCACTCAGATAACCACTCTTTACAGCTTTGATGAGCAGAAAAGCTTCACAGTGAGCAACACGTCCACATCCAACCTTGAGGTGGATGGACTACAACAGCAGAAAACCACATCAGGTTCCACTTCCTGTCACCAAGACCAGAGACTTGAGGCTGAAGTGGACACAGACTCACCAACACTGGACAGATGAAGACCTGGTCTGATGGATCTCGATTTGTGCTGAGGCAGCAGATGGTAGAGTCAGAGTCTGAATCCATGGACCAACCTGCCTTGTGTCAACTGTCCAGGCTGGTAGTGGTGGTGTGATGGTAGGGGGAATGTTTTCAATCAATCATGGTCTGAATTTCACGGTCTGAGTATTGTTGCTGACCATGTTCATTCCATCATGGCCATAGTTCACCATCTTCTAATGGCTCCTTCCAGCAGGATAATGCTCCATGTGACAAACTGTTTTCATCAACATGACAGTGAGTCCCGTGAACTTCAGTGCTGGCCCCCCACCCCCCAGTCTCCAGACCTGGATCCATTAGAACATCTTTGGGATGTGGTAGAACAGGAGACTGGCAGCATGAATGTGCAGCTGACAAATCTGCAGAAATTATGTGATGCATCATGTCATCATGGAGCAGAGTCTCAGAGGAAAGTTTCAACATATCTGGTGGATCCATGACATGAAGAACTGAGGAACTACCCAGTGTTAGTGTGCTGTTCCTAATAAAGTTCTGTCTACTGTACATATTTATAAGTTTGTACATATTGCACATGTACATATTGTTGCTCTCTCTTGGTTGTATTACTTTGAATTTGCAATAACTGATTTTTGGCCAGTTGAGAGCAGCAGAAACGCGAACAAAACACTGAAATACTGTATTATCAAAGTTGATCATAGTTAGAAGGCAGTTGTTTATTTCCACATGTAGCAGATGCAGAGCAACATTATCATTCATTTGGAGTTGTGTTTCTGGATCCTGGTAAATCTAATTCCATTATTTACTCTCTGTTTTTGGTCCATACCAGGCTCCTTAGGGAAATATCTGTCTCTTTAGCTACTCCTGCTAAATGCTCCACTACGCATGCTCATCAGCTAGTCTTTAATTGTGTATGTCTGATGTCTGCTGGTGGTGTAGTGTACAGTGTGTTTTTAGAGCAATTTCTCTAAAAAGTGCTATCTGGTGTAGCCGAAAAACAGCAGTGAGAGTAAAAATAGTAAAGTTGTGGTCTTGAGGAGCTAAACAATGAGCTAAAACTCACTGCCAAGAGGAGCTGCAGTTGATAATTGACTATAGGTTCATCACTACAAATGATTTGTCACACTGGGGGTCCACAGGGAACTGCTCTGGCTTCATTCCTATTTGCCCTGTATATGGTTGACTTTAAATACAACTCTGAGTCCTGCCACGTCCAGAAATACTCAGTTGACACAGCTAATGTAGCACATATCAGGAAGGGGCAGGAAGAGGAGTACAGGGATCTGACGAAGGCCTTCAGTGAATGGAGCGACAAGAACTGCCTCCTTCTGAACTCCTTCAAGACAAAGGAGATGGTCATGGACTTTCGGAGGTCTAGGCCCACCCTTCAGCCAGTCAACATTAAAGGGAATGACATTGAGATGGTGCACACTTATAAATACCTAGGTGTGTGCCTGGACAGTAAACTGGACTGGTCCGTGAACATGGATGCCATCTACTGGAAGGGGCAGAGCCAGCTTTTTCCTCAGGAAGCTCAGGTCCTTTGACATCTGCAGTGAAATGCTGCTTATGTTTTATCAGTCAGTGGTGGCCAGTATACTCTTTTATGTTGTAGTCTGCTGGGGCGGCAGCATGTCCAACATGAACATAAAAAAACTGCAGAAGCTGATCAAAAAGGCTGGGTCTGTGCTTGGCAGCAGTCTGGACTCACTCAGGACTGTTGTGGAGAGACGCAAGATGGAGGCCATCTTAGACAGTACCAACCGTCATCTCCACAACATTCTGGCATGACAGAGAAGCAGCTACAGCTGCAGCATACGTCTCATCTCACTGCGCTGCAGAACAGAGAGGTTCAGAAGATCCCTTGTTCCCACTGCCATCAGGCTATAAAACACCTCAGCCAAAGGGAGTGGACTAATCCAATTATTATTGTTTATTTATTATAAACTGTTATTATTATTATTATTATTATTGTTATTAACAATGAGCTAATGGACAAATGAATTACCCCTAGGGAATAAATAAAGTATCTATCTATCTATCTATCTAAAATATGAAACATTGAATAATTTTATCCTTCTTAAGCTCATTCAAGTAAACTCTTAATGCCACTCGGCTTTGATGTGGTGAAAGCTCACACTCATCATTAAAGTTTTCATGATATCACTTCAGTACTTGTTCCTGGACCTGCAAAGAGAACAGTGGGTGGATGGTTTGTGACCCTTAGAGCACACAAAACGTCATTATTGCAACTGACTGAATCTTAAACACAGAGGTGAGAAGATAAAAAGTGCTTTTTGGTCAGACAAATGACATTAAGCTGGACACACAGAACATAAGAGAGGGAATATGACTTACTATATCTGAAAAAGAGTCACTACTGCAGGGCTCACTGTATGTTGTACCCAGCAACACTGAACCTGCAGACATACACAATTACACAATTAGTACTGATAATAATCCACCATTGAAACAATTCACAGATGAAAAACATGTAGGATTTTGATATTCATAACCAATGGAAGGCAGCTTTACTGAAGTCATGTTTCATGCATTGAGTTTGGTTGAGTGTCTGCTCCCAGGTCCAGTTTAACACAGACTTGGGGCCGCTGTGTCTCCCAGTGTTTTTTCTTCTTCCTGTTTGTCTCCTCTTCCCCCATGTGTGTCTGTGTGCTTCCCCCGACATCAGGTGACTCAGCGGAGGCGTGGTCTGGACAGCAGCTCACCACCACACTCACTCATCACCTGCAGTACATCTACCCTGGTCATCCATCCATTCATCACCAGATTGTTCCGCTCTTCACAGCGGTAGAACTCTCTCAGCCACTCTGATTACTTTTTGTAACTACGGAGTTATATTGTGATATCCGCAGTGATTTTGTCTGTGGTAACTTTCATTCTCCTGTGTTCCAGAAGAATTCCTGATTTGTGGGCTGCTAATCCTGCCACACTCTGCTGTCACCAGGCCACACAACGCACTTGCTTTTGGTTTCAGCTGTCCCTCATTTTTCCAGAGTGTGTTACTCCCCTGCCTCTGGCTTCCAGTGTTCCCCATAGTCCTGCCTCATGTCTTCACCAGCCACCTCGATTCCTCTGACCCACTCCCCCTCCACATTCACCATCACCATTGCCTTCGCTTCAATAAACTCCCTTGCATGGTTATTGCTGGTGTGTTTTGTGTTCTGTCTCTGCTCTGGGGCCCCACATCAGTTTTGGCAAAGACATAACAGCCGGTTTCACAAAGATATGTCAGACTGGTCGGTAGTGCTGCTCCAGGCTTCATGTTGCTCATAGATCAGTCTGATGTTATTGATTGTTACCATGGTAACATTGGTCTTAGGCCTGAGTTAGCCTGTGGGTAAGGTGTCTAAGGTTTTTGTCTTAAGATGAGATACCTGCACTGATCAGTAGCACCAAACAACAAAAAACAGGAAAACATGGCTCATATGTGTGGTTTGCTAACATTGTAATGGACAGAGCAAAGAGAACGGAAAGAGTTTTTAGATGTTTTCTTTTTATTGTTACTCTCTTTGCTGAATTTCCAAAGTAAAACATCCTTGTAACTGAACATATTTTCAGCTGGAGGTAAATGGAGCTGAGTGGTTTGATGTGGTTCATTGGTCAGCCAAGATAGTCGAGAACTAAACGGCTTTGTCCTACAGATGAATTTAGACTCAGTCTATCTGAAGTCTGACTGTTTCTTATATCTAAGCCACAGTCAAAGTCTGTCTGAAACCAGCCCCTGAGCTCAAGACAACAAATATTCATGAACGCGTAATGAATTGAAATATGTGCTATTATTGTGAATGCACAATGGGTTTGGGAGTGTGGAGGGAAACAGACGGGTCCAGTGCAGTGGTATGGAGAACTGACTGCCTGGTTGGTTGTATACTATAGGAAACAACAAAGGCAAGGCTCCATCTGTCATTGGCTCCTTTCCAACACGTATAACAGTAGAAGCATCGCAATAATGTGATTTACATGCAGTATATAATTATATTCTAGTTTACAGTGGCTTGCAAATGTATTCATACCCCTACTTTTCCACATTTTGTCACGTTACAACCACAAACGTAAATGTATTTTATTGGGATTTTATGTGATAGGCCAACACAAAGTGGTGCATAATTGTGAAGTGGAAGGAAAATGATACATGGTTTTCAAATGTTTTTAGAATTAAAAAACTGAAAAGTGTGGCGTGCAAAAATATTCAGCCCCCCTGAGTCAATACTTTGTAGAACCACCTTTTGCTGCAATTACAGCTGCAAGTTTTATGGGGTATGTCTCTACCAGCTTTCACATCTAGAGACTGAAATTTTTGCCCGTTCTTCTTTGCAAAATAGCTGAAGTTCAGTCAGATTGGATGGAGAGCATCTGTGAACAGCAATTTTCAAGGCTTGCCAGAGATTCTCAATTGGATTTAGGTCTGGACTTTGACTGGTCCATTCTAACACATGAATATGCTTTGATCTGAACCATTCCATTGTAGCTCTGGCTGTATGTTTAGGGTCGTTGTCCTGCTGGAAGGTGAACCTCCGCCCCAGTCTCAAGTCTTTTGCAGACTCTAAAAGGTTTTCTTCCTAGATTGCCCTGTATTTGGCTCCATCCATCTTCCCATCAACTCTGACCAGCTTCCCTGTCCCTGCTGAAAAAAAGCATCCCAACAGCATGATGCTGCCACTATGTTTCACGGTGGGGATGGTGTGTTCAGGGTAATGTGCAGTGTTAGTTTTCCGCCACACATAGCGTTTTGCATTTAGGCCAAAAACTTCAATTTTGGTCTCATCTGACCAGAGCACCTTCCTCCACATGTTTGCTGTCCCCCCCACATGGCCTGTGGCAAACTGCAAACGGGACTTCTTATGGCTTTGTTTCAACAATGGCTTTCTTTTTGCCACTCTTCCATAAAGACCTGATTTGTGGAGTGCACGACTAATAGTTGTCCTGTGGACAGATTCTCCCACCTGAGCTGTGGATCTCTGCAGCTCCTCCAGAGATACCATGGGCCTCTTGGCTGCTTCTCTGATCATTGCTCTCCTTGCCCGGCCTGTCAGTTTAGGTGGACGGCCATGTCTTGGTAGGTTTGCAGTTGTGCCATACTCTTTCCATTTTCGGATGATGGATTGAACATTGCTCTGTGGGATGTTCAAACCCTGGGATATTTTTTCATAACCTAACCCTGCTTTAAACTTCTCCACAACTTTATCCCTGACCTGTCTGGTGTGGTGTGTTCCTTGGGCTTCATGATGCTGTTTGTTCACTAATGTTCTCTAACAAACCTTCGAGGCCTTCACAGAACAGCTGTATTTATACTGAGATTAGATTACACACAGGTGGACTCGATTTACTAATTAGGTGACTTCTGAAGGCAATTGGTTGCACTGGATTTTATTTAGGGGTATCAGAGTAAAGGGGGCTGAATACTTTTGCATGCCACACTTTTCAGTTTTTTATTTGTAAAAAAATTTGAAAATCATGTATCATTTTCCTTCCACTTCACAATTATGCGCCACTTTGTGTTGGCTTATCACATAAAATCCCAATAAAATACATTACAAAATCAATACAAAATGTGGAAAAGTTCAACAGGGTATTAATACTTTTGCAAGCCACTGTACATCAACAAGTCTTTTTTCAGGTATAAATAGAAAGTCAAAGACCTCTGTTTCTAAGTAGAATTCCACTTTGTGGAAGTTGAATTGAACAGTATTTTACTATTTCCTAGTACTATCTCAGTGCATCTGTTACCTTGGTGCTCTGAAGTGATGCGGACCAAATCACTGACTGTCATCTCATCAGTGTGTTTTAAGATGTGACCTCTGACGCCCAGATGGGGCAGGGCCTTTGCCTTGTAAGTGACGTCAAAGAGCAGTGAACACGAGTCTCCAATAACATTGCTCAGCTTCTCCCACTGGACTATGTCCTTAATGAGAAAGACACAAGAACAAGGATACACGTTTGGCATATCATACATATGCACACAACACACATATCTAACATGCAGTCAACCTCACAAACACATATAAACAGTAAAAATACTACTACAAAAAAATACTACCACCGAAAAACACCACTGGGATTTCCATGGTTCTACATGGACCCTTTTCATCAATGAGAAATTCATTAAAGTTTGATATAAGCTGCACATGTCCAGTAGAACAAGATCTGTTGGTAACACTAATTAGACATTCAGTCAGTTTTGAATCTGTAACTATGGCAACCTGACAACCTGTCAACAGTCTACTGCGACGTTAACTCCTGGTTTCAGCTTGTACTACAACCGGGTCCCTAAAGACCCTGACCATTCTAACCGGAGGTGGCAGAATATTTCTCATGAGTTTGTAATAATTTAATACAACAATACAATATCAAACAATACAATACCTAACCACAGTTAGGAGTGATAACTTAGATGTTGAGCCATGGCTTTAATCAGTCTAAAATCTTTAAATAATATAATTCAAATGCCTCATCACCAAGAGCACACACACTGTCCTGCTGCTGGAAATACACACAATATTGATACCAAATGTGCATTAATCTGCCACTGACAATAGTCCCCAACAACTGAACTGTTTACTCCTGTTTGAGTTACTGTTATTAACACCTGCCTTATCTTTAAAATTGTCTCTGTATTTAAATTGACCTGTTAGGAATTTACCAGAATTGCTTTTACTTTTCTACTGAACAATGTGAAGTGTCAGGAGCAGAAACTACACAGACACATGTACAATATACAAACAATATTGGAAATGTTGAGGAAAGAACAATGATGTTTTGAACTCACCTCTCTCCTTAATGGATTGATTAAAGCCACCACAGCTGGGTATTTGCTGACAAGTGTTTGGTACATGTCCACTAATTCATCCGGAGACTTCAAAACTCCTGTTGCAACTTCATACTTTCCTTTAGACTGAGAGGAGGAGAAGAAAACTAATTCAGTTCTCTTCACTACTTGTTGTCTTGTGAATTGACCTCTTCAGCTGTATGCATATAGAACTAATTTACACAAGAACTCCTATGCGTAGACTCCCAACAGCTTGGTACACATAAAGCCAGAGACTACCTTTCGTCAACTTACAAAGTCCATAAGCTCATGAGCGTCACAGTTTAATGCTAAATGGATCTCTGTTCCCAGTGCCAGTCCAAGGTTAATGCAGGCTTCAGCGATGAGATCCAGAGGCTGCTCGGGTCTCTCGTAGCTCACAGCTGGCGCACCACTGTCATGCAGAGTTGCCTGAGTGGCCTCGGAGCAAATACACATGGTTCACCTTGTCAACAACATCTGTGTATTGTACTTTTCTACTTCCAACGGTAATAAATACATTAACTTACAGTGTTCTTTACATCTCTCCTGTTGGGGAACGTCTTTTGAAAAGTAGCTTAGCTGAAGCTGCTTATGGATGACAATAGATGACTATTCATTCATTGGTCTGAATGAAACGGTTGTCATTTCAAGGTTATTAGAAGATGAGTGTGTTCCACTCACCCTCTGCACTGTTTGCGTTATGAATGTAAGTGCTAGGGGTCACTGAACAATGCAGGAGATAACTGCGTATACAGCACAAATGCTGCCTGAAGGAAAAGGCAGATAGAAATATTGATATATAATAAATGAATATAGAATGATTTAATAAGCATTTCCAGGCCTGCATACCTGAGTTAATTTGGACATTAGCCATGAAAATCACATAGAAATATAATTTTTTGTGTGTATCTTGTAGGAAAGCTCTGTAACAGAAAAAGCTTTGAATATTGCCTCCACCTTTTACATTCTGTACTATCATAAAGCCTGTGTAAACACAGTTCCCATTCTTAAAGTGAATTAATAGCAACGTCCCTCACCCCAGCTTTTGTTGAAGTGTTCATTATTCTCATCATCTCCTTCTGTAATTCAAGGGTCATTGTGATGATCTGTTGAAGAAGTTCACAGTTCAGTGCATTTTATAAATGCTATAGATAAATCTGAGCACTGAAGAGCTGAGGTGCTTCACCAATAATATAGCACGTCACAGCAACAACAAAGGAAGCTACGACCTTGCACAAAAAACACAAACTTTATACAATGAACAAGTCTGTACCAACTGCCACCACACTGAGACATGGACCAAAGACAGAACATGTAACAACAGAGATGTGAGTGGGAGTGGTGAGTACTTGTTTGACTCGTTGTCCTGCTTTGGGGATCAGAATGATTTCCTCCAGCAAACTCAGTTTTCCAGCAGATGTCTTCCCACAGCTCAGCAAAGTCACCAAGGAGACAGGGATGTAAAACTGTGTTGGAGTCTGGATAAAAGTGTTGAAGACATCATTACATGTTGCTCCCAGTGTGTGTAGTATTTGTGTTTGTGGTTGTGTGATCTAACCTCTCCGTTCTTTAGCGCTGCTATGTATCCATAGAGAGGGAGGCCCTGTAACTGTGCCCCAGTTCTGGCAACAGCCACAGACACTGAGCCGATGGCTAAGCTCCCAGGCAGAACTGGCTCTGGTGGCTCTGCTGGAGGAAACGGTTTCTCTGAAGTATTGCTCTTTTTACCTGTAAATAGACACATGACACATGGGAATAGACACAACACCTGCACACAGATATGGGAGACCATGCAAAGTGAATCACCACTCCATCACTGTGCCACCCTTGGGAACACACTGCCTGTGTTGCTTGGTGTGGTTTAGATAAGTAATACATCTACACTGAACTCATTGTCATGTTGATGAAACCAGTTTGTGACATGGAGCATTATCCTGCTGGAAGGAGCCATTAGAAGATGGTGAACTGGGGCCATGAAGGATGAACATGGTGAGCAACAATACTCAGATGGACTGTGACATCCAGACCATGATTGATTGGTATTAGGAAGAACACATTTTCCACACCATCACATTCCCCACCACCAGCCTGGACTGTTGACATAAGGCAGGTTGGTCCATGGATTCAGACTCTGACTCTACCATCTGCTGCCTCAGCACAAATCCAGATCCATCAGACCAGGTCTTCATCTGTTCAGTGTTGGTGAGTCTGTGTCCACTTTAGTGTCATGTTTCTGGTCTTGGTCATCTTACTTGCATGTGTAATATCATAAACTTTTCTTATTTTCTGCAATATTCCAAAGCAAATGGAAAAATCTGGCTGATGATGGCTTCTGGCTGAAACACGCTTGTTCTTTGCCCCCATACAAGAAGACTATTTATCCGTGAGTGCTGGCATTCTGTTTGATCTGCTTAGATTGCAACAACCATGCACCTGATACATTGCTGTATTGACTATTTTGGAGCAGTGCATGCTGCTGCTGTCTACCAATGGAAAAACCCCATTGGCTTTTTGTCAAACCAGCGTGATGCTAACTTCTGGGTCAGCCTATAAAAATACATCATCTAAAGACAAGCTACCTATAGATAATTGGAGACCCATTACTTAATAAACAATGCCTTTGAAATATTTGCTTCAATTGTTGCCAAAACATTGAAAATAGGATTGGGGAAAAAAACTGATGAAGAGCATGGATGCTCAAAACCACACAACTATTTCAGCTTCAACAAGGTTTGAAACAAGGACAGTTTCTCCGTTCATACTTTTGTAAGTCTCAAGTAAAGGCTACACATCAAAGTGATCAGTTTTCAAGAGATTTCAGCTGTATAGAGAATTTAAAATTTGTCACCTGGTAGATGACACCTCATTGTTCTTGAGAAACAAAAATGACATTTTCAAGGCAATACAGTTTGATTGATTGCTTTGGATTTGCATTGATTCCTTTCTCTGCTGGATCTAGTTGGCAGATTAATGTCAAGAAATCAAATCTTGTAATTTGTCTTATATACATTATATCAAGGTAAGATACAGTTTCTTGGGGATTTTGGGGATTCCAGTAGGATTATTGTAAAGATGAAAGTATATGTACAAACCCAGTTGACCCAGTTATTGGTGAAACCAAAACAGGATGGGACATGAAGGGCTCTCCCTCTGTATATGCTTCTCTCTTTCTCTTTAATTCACAGTGAATTTTATCTGGAGAAATAAATGTCACTATCTAAAGAAAGAGATTTTATGTAATACCAAAGATAGTGGGGGCCTTGAAGTCTTAGATTATGAGGCACTTAACAATACTTTTAAAATCAATTGGTTTAGAAATTGGCTTCAAGAATAAAAATAATATAAGAATCAGAATCAGAAAGAACTTTATTGATGTTACAGTCAGTGAATAGAAAAATGTACAAATGCAAACACACAAAAAGTAAAAACTAATGTGTGAGGTAGAATCACAGTGTGGCCAAATTTCAAACGTGGATACATCCGATTAACAGTAATTTAACATTTAAAATTTAACAGCAGTGTACTGAAGGAGATGAAAGAGGAGGAGTCATATATCTGGATGGCCTTAGGGAATAAGGCGCTCCTGTGGCGTTCAGTGGAGCACTCATCAGTCTAAGTCTCTGGCCAACCACAACACTGTGTAGAGGGGGGGAACTTCTGTTTTTTGCTGATGTTGAGCCACAGGTGCTTAAGCCTGCTTGCCTGTCCAGGTGGGCATAGGCACGGGGGAGCAGGTACATGATGGCTTCATCCACCCTGACATCCAGTTGGTACATGAACTTGACGGGGTCCACAGAAGGGTTCATCAATAGCTGGAGAGACTCAAGGACCAGTCTTTCATGTGTGAGGTCAATGTTATGGGTCTGTAGTCGCTGGCACCACTGGAACAGGCCTTTTTCTGTACAGAAACTGAGTAGACTCCACGTTTGCCAGGTGTGCCTATCTATCTCATACGTGTCCAGACCTCCCTGGTGTGATTCTGCTACAGCCTCTGCTCCAGCTTCCTACCATGGGCTTCCTTCCTCCTTCCGATATTCACTGACAGTCAATCAGAGTCCACAAAGAAGTTGACATACTCGGACAAACAGTCTGTCAGTCCATCTACATCCTCACCATTTGGCAAACATCCCAGTCTGTGCAGTGAAAGAAGTTTTGCAGTGTAGCACATGTATTATCAGACCATCACCTCACAATCTTGATGGGTTGCTGGGTTAGCGGAGGGAAGAATGTAAACATCAACCAAGATGCAGTGTGAGAACTCCCATTAACTTCCCCAGGTACATATTCAGTAGTAGTGTAAGTGTAAGTATCAGGGACACAAAGGAGCACGACTGCTTACATTGCCACTGGCCACAGTTTTACTGTAAGATAATTAATAATTGTTCAACTGCTCATTAGCTACCCATTAATTTTCACAGCAAGCGACTTTCCAAAGAGTGTAACGGGGTGTGATAGGACCCACTTACAGCACAACCAAACAGATGGATAGTTGGAAATGACCTTTATTGATATACCAGCAGAGAGAACACACAGGTGGGTATGAGGAGCCGAGGATGTGGTCCGGGGATGGAGAGCCGGGGGTCCGGAGCAAGGTGACTGAGCTCACACACACAGGGGAAAGTTCTTGGACCCGAAGGCTGGGGCTGGCGCTGCCTAAAACTCCTGGGAGCTGGTCCAGTCCATCTCCTCAGCCAGGTGGGTGGAGGGGGTCTGGTGGAGGGATCCCCCACTGTCTGATGACGGCTCCTCCTCATTGGGAGTGATGGGTGGAAGAGCAGGGAGGACTCTCCGGCGAAGGTTCCTGGGGGGAGCTGATGTCCACTAGGCTGGTCAGGGTGACACTGGTGGAAATCGGAGGTGGAATAGTGGGCACCAACGGACTCTCTCTGACCGGCTTCACTCTGGAAACATGGAAGGTGGGATTGACGCGCATGGTGCGCGGGAGCCTCAGTCTCACCGCCGTCTAACTGATAACCCTCAGGATGGGGAATGGGCCGATGAACCTGGGAGCCAGCTTCTTGGATTCCACCCGGAGGGGTAGGTCCCGGGTGGAGAGCCACACCTTCTGGCCAACCTGGTAGACCGGAGCAGGAGAGTGTCGCTGGTTGGCCAAAGCAGTGTAGCAACTCACGGAGCACTGGAGGGCAGTGTGTGCCTGGACCCAGATTCGGCGACAGCGGTGGACGAAGGCTTGGACCGACGGACAGGAAACCTCCTTGTCCAAGGCTGGGAAGAGCGGTGGCTGGTAGCCGTAGGCACCTTGGAATGGCGAGAGGCCTGTGGCAGAGCTGGTGAGGGAGTTATGGGCGTACTCCACCCACAGGAGCTGCTGCGAACAGGAAGACGGATTCCAGGAGACCATGCAGCGAAGGGCCGTCTCCATCTCCTGATTCTTCCGCTCAGTCTGCCCGTTAGACTGGGGATGGAACCCAGTGGAGAGACTGGCAGTGGCTCCCATCAGACAGCAAAACTCGAGGAGAACTGGGGGCCCCGGTCGGACACCACATCGACAGGGAGACCATGCAGGCGGAAGACGTGGAGCAGGACCAGCTGGGCCGGTTCCTTGGCCTATGGCAGTTTGGCCAGGGGCACAAAGTGGGCCATCTTGCTGAACCTGTCCGCCACCGTGAGGATAACTGTGTTGCCATCTGATGGGGGCAAACCAGTGACGAGAGATGTGGGACCATGGACGATGCGGCACCGGCAGGGGCTGTAGAAGACCATATGGAGCCTGATGCGAGGGCTTGTGCTGATTGCAGACAGGGCAAGCATTCACAAATTCCCGTGTGTCCTCCTCCAGGGTGGCCCACCAGAACCGTTGGCGGAGGACGTCCCATGTTCTCCGGATCCCAGGATGACAGGTGAGCTTGGAGGCGACCAACTGAAGCACCTCGGACCTCAGGGCTGGAGAAACAAACAGGCAGTGCGGGGGGCAAGCGCTGGGTCCAGGCTGACCCTTGGTGGCAGACCTCACCCTCTCCTCGATTTCACAGGTAAGGGTGGCGACAACACAGGGAGCAGGGAGGATCGGGTCGGGCCCCAAGGAAGAGTCTGTTTCTCCTTGGAACTGGTGTGACAAGGCATCAGGCTTGACGTTGTGGGACCCAGGACAGTAGAAGAGGGAGAAATTGAAGCGGGTGAAGAAAAGGGACCACAGGGCCTGACGGGAGTTAAGTCTCCTGGCCGTACGGATGTACTCAGGTTCTCATGGTCAGTCCATACCAGAAAAGGTTGCTTGGTCCCCTCAAGCCAGTGCCGCCACTCCTCTAATGCCAGCTTGACAGCCAGGAGCTCCCGGTTGCCGATGTCATAATTTCTCTTGGCAAGGGACAGACGCCGAGTGAAAAAGGCGCAGGGGTGAATTTTCTGGTCCGAGGTTGCACGCTGGGATAGGACAGCCCCCACTCCCACGTCGGAGGCGTCCACCTCCACAACAAACTGGCACTTGAAGGATGGGGGCCGATGTGAACCGGGCCTTGAGGGTGAGGAAGGCCTCATCGGCAGAAGGGGTCCAACTGAAGGGCATCTTGGAGGAGGTAAGGGCAGTCAGGGGGGCGGCGATGCTGCTGTATTGTCGGATGAAGTGGCAGTAAAAATTGGCAAATCCCAGGAAACATTGCAGTTGCTTACGGGAGTCAGGGACTGACCAGGAGGTGACCGCTGATACCTTCGCCGGATCCATCCGTATGTTGTCTTCAGCTACAATGTACCCCTGGAAGGAAACGGAG